TTCCCTTACAGAATCTTCTGTAGAGAGTAGCCAGTAAAAAATATCAAGAGTTATGTGAATTAGAGAATGAATAAACAATAGAAGGCAGAAAAAATAAAAACAAGCATAAAAAAGGTACCATAAAACAGAATGGCATGTTTGATTTGGCTCTTTCTTTTTGATCATTCACAGCCATTAACCTCTCCCCTAGTTGACGAGGCAAAGAGAGAAAACAAGCTCTTTCTGTCTACACAAAGTCAGTGACTTTTCCTTTGATACAAACTGATTCCAAAACCCCTACATGAAAAGAAGACCTTGCTTGCCAAAAATTTTAAAAATGTTGTCTCTACATTTATTGGATTCATGTGGGCATTCTGGATTCTTTAAGTAAGTAAATGGTCTGTAGGTGTCATTGTTTTGCTTTTTAAAGGTGGTGACAAAAAATATCTTGACAACTATAGAGGGATTACCTTGCTTAGCATTTTCGGAAAGCTTTTCCTGGGTATTCTTCTAAACCACCTGAATCAGACAGTGGAAGAGTTTAACATTCTCAAGGAGAATCAAATTGCTTATAGAAAATCATATTGAACCTCCGTTCACATTTTTACGCTTCATGCTTTAATTGAGAACACACTTGCTAGTAAGAAAACTCTTTATTTATGCTTTGTGGATTTTAAGAAAGCTTTTGATTCCGTTGACTACATAATTCTTATTGATACACTGTTGGCTTATGGTATTAATGGTAAAGTGTTAGATGTCATTAAGTCCCTGTATGCAAAAGTTAAGTCCTGTGTAAGGGGCCAAGACAGCCTAACTAATCTATTTTCCTGCCATTGTGGTGTTAGGCAAGGTTGTTTGTTGAGTCCATTGCTGTTCACTTTGTTTCTTAATGACTTAGACTCAAAGATTAATGCTGTGTCTACCGGTGTCAGATTGGGTGATGGAAATATCTGCACCCTTTTATATGCTGATGACTTAGTTTTATTAGCTAATTCTGCTGATGATCTGCAATCCCAGTTGAACAAGCTAAACCAGTTCTGCTTGTCCATTAATATGGAGATAAATACTTCCAAAACCAAGATAATGGTTATGAGAAAAAACAAGAAAAAATCTAAGGTGTGCAAAATTTGGAAATTTGGTGATAAAGAGATCAAAGAATGCAATGAGTACAAATACCTTGGAGTTACTTTTAAATCTAATGGTTCCTACAGTGCTCATGTTGATATAATTAAGCAAAAAGCTCAAAAATCTTACTTTGCTCTCTTATCCAAAAGCAACGAATGGGATGGTTTCAACCCAGGACTGTTTCTATTTTTATTTGACAGTACAATACTTCCTATTCTAAATTATGCCACTGACGTATGGGGATTTGGTACATGGGAATGCCTGGAAAAAATTCATCTTATGGCTTGCAAGTCAACCCTAGGTGTTAAAGGATCTACAACGTCTCTTGGGGTTTATGTGGAGTTGGGACGTTGTTCGTTGCTTGAACATAGACATATTAACATCTTAAAATTTTATATTCGTTTAATAAATCTTGATTCCTCCAGATATGCATACAGAGCTCTTCAAATGTTAATTAATGATGCAGATTCCGGTGTTTCTAATTGGGTCAGTATTGCCCGTTCCCTGATGACCCTTTACAGAATACATACAACCGATAACTCCACTATCGTGAAATCAAAAGTGTCTTCCCATTTTAGGTCAACAATTATGGAAAATTTAAAAGAACAAATTATTCTCAATAAAAAGCTTTGTATATACGCATCTTTCAAAACTGTATATAAGTTTGAGCATTACTTAGACTTGATACCTAGCAAAAAGAAAAGATCCAACTTTGCAAAACTACGTCTCAGTGCTCACAACCTCAGGATTGAAAGAGGTAGATACGGGAAGAATCCTATTCCTAGGATTGATAGAAAATGTCCGTATTGTCAATCTTTTAATAAACTGCTGTGGAGGACGAAATTCATTTTTTATTAGTTTGTCCCCTTTACGAGACTGCTAGGAATTCTATGTTATCTATGATTTATTCAAAATTTCCCAGAATGTCATCCCTTGACCTTTGTGATAAGTTTATTTGGTTGATGAGTCAAGAAAATACGGATTGTCTGATATCGATAGCCAATTTTATATCGCTGGCTTTTGAGTCATGGGAATCTTTTGGGAAGTCCTCTACGTGCATATCCTCGTAACGTAAACTTTCCAGCTCGTCATCATTTTTTTATCTGTTTATCTTTGTATTAGCTGTTTGCTGTTTTCTGAGATTTATTGTTAATTTGTAATTGTGTTAATTTATAAGTATAGTAATTCTGTTTGCTGTTTTCTGAGATTTATTGTTAATTTGTACTTATGTTCTGAGATTTAGTATTAATTTGCAATTATGTCAACTTGTATGTATGGTAATTGTGTTGGCGATGGGCCATTTAGGCCTACAAGCCTTATATATAAAAAAAAAAATGTTGACCAATTGCTGAATCACATTCCGTTCGGGCATTCGATCTTTTTTTATAAAATGAGGGAGTTGTTCTTTTTCAGGAACCGTTTTTTCCTTATTCTTGTGCAGAAATATGTTGTTTTATTCTGTGGACTAATTACTAAGTCTTTTGATCTTCTCTGCTTACCTTTTGACTTTATTTTATCTTACTGTGGAAAGAGTGTTTTTGCTAGGATTTGGAATAAAAATTGAAAAATTTGAATAAGCTTCAAATGTTATTGCAGAGTGAGAATTCTGCTTCTATGCCAGTGAGCATGAGACAAGACCGACATTTGTGTCTCGTGCAAAATGCACCAGACTAAGTATAAGTAAAGACTTAGTATAAGTCTTTTTGCTCTGATGAAGCCCCGTATGCCGGGGCGAAATATTAGCCTTCACTGATTTACGTGTATCTATTGTTGTTTATTCTTGGCGTATTGCGGTGTTTCTTATTTGCTATATTTTTATCAACTTTTCGCTGCAAGAACTCCTTGGAGCCCGCCAAGCAGCCTGCTACAGTCACCTTTTCTTCATTCACACATTAGTATAATAAGTAGGTCTGTTGTTTCTAGCCTGCTGCCTCGTATATTAAAAATGAATGACAAAATCAATCAAAATAGGCCTTATACAGTGAAACAAAAACTAGAAAGACATTATAAAAGTTGTCTACAATAGAATAGGGTTCGTATCTAGATAAAAGAAGGAGAAGAGTAACACATTTCATATATAAATATATATATACCTAACTTGTTATAGAACCCTATTTTGTTATAGGCAACTTTTATAATGTCTTTCTAGTTATTGTTTCACTGTATAAGGCCTATTTTGATTGATTTTGTCATTCATTTTATATATAGGGGCCATTTCATTTCCTATCATCAATCATTAGGAACCTGAATTCCGAACTTTGATCAGTGGTCAGGCGGTCCGGCCATTTACGCCCCTAAAATAAATTGAAGAAAACACATACCACCACCTCTACGCATAATTAGAATCTTTTTGCAAATGAACTCGTGAATTAAAAAATTGTTCCACGAAAACGTTCCTGTTTGCTTCTTAACAGCCTAGCCGCCTGGACGTGTCACTGAGTGTTATGGTTGTTGTTGGTGCCCTCGTTCGTCTGTAAGAGGCTTAAACAAGATGTGTTGATACCTGTATACAATACAATCTTTTATCCTTGCAAGTACGTGCTGAGAGTTGACTCTGCAGAAACATGGAGAGTTGGGATGAAAGTCCCGAAGACCGAGCTTCTTACCGAGATAGCGATCAATTCGATGAAGACTCTTTATCGGTTTGCTCTTGGTTTTCGGAGAATGAGATTATCGGCGGACTGACTTGGAAAGGCTGGAAAAACAACAACAGTACTTTGTTATCCCATTCTGGTGAATGTTGTGAGGTATATTTTTTCGCTCGTATTTTCTAATGATGGTAACTGCCAGGCTTGCCTTAGATCTAGCAAGGTCACATTAAGGTGTTTGAAATCCCAAAAGACCATTATTGCCCTTGTTTACAGCCGTTTTTGATGAAGACTTTTCAGGCACTAGCGTGTCACTGTTTACGACTGTTTATCCCATAATTTTTTTTGTATTTTCATTCGACCAGGAGTTAAAATGCTATTTTGAGCAATTTACAGTATTATTTGTTACCTAAAAACATTGCAATTTGTTAAGAGAGAGAGAATTAAAGGCTACTGACATGTTTTATTGATTGAATTCTGTTGCAACATTTATCAAAGACTGTGCTCCTGAAACAAAGAATTCCTGAAACACCAGCAGATAGTGACCAAAATGCAGTTAAATTTTTTCTTGCTCGTCAAAGTAAATAGAGAATTTGCTGCATTATTAGCAATGAAAACTTTCTTTACCATTTTTCATGAATACTTTTAGTGTAGTGGCTGGCAAGGATAATATCTTTCTAACTCGGAAAAACACCAGTAAATACGGTTTCAGATCAGTAAGCTACTATGGATGGAGCAAAGGGCTGGAATAACATTCCTGTAAATATTAAAAGGTCACCATCTGTTAGTGTCTTTCATTCTTAGCTCTATTCTAACCTACTTTTTTGAAAGTAATTTTTGAAAGTGTAAGATAGACAGTCATGATTTACACATACAGTTTCTGAAATTATTATCTTAAAAGGGGGTGCTCTCTTCCTCGATTAGCTTTGCTACTGAGAGAGTTCCTCCTTAAGAATTCCCTTTCATGCAAATCCTCTGGTGTAGTATCAAATCTTTGTCATATTCTATGTTTATTGTCATCATGTATTTATTATAATTATTGTAATTAGTTTAATATTAGAGTATCTGTATGTAGTGGAATTTTTTAAATGAATGCATGAACTGAATGAATGAACTGAATGTAGATACGAAGTTTGAAAATGAACAGATTTGATTTAAAACAAATACATCAGAAATTTTTTTTGGAATTTTGGTTGCTTTGAGCATAATTTTTATTATAATGCCTTGCCTTTCAAGATCAAACAAAACTTATTGAAAAGACATGGTTGTTAAGTTATCTTTAGTTAATTTGAATGTGATATTTATAGATTCCAAAGCTTCTGGATGTTGCTGCAAAGGTTGTTGCTGCATGCCTCCCTTTTCAGGATGTGGAAGAGTATAAGCCTCCTGTGCCTGAGCAAGTGCAGATGAAAGTTGCATTTTGGTCATTCCCACAAAAGGAGGATGATATACGCTTGTATTCATGTATTGCTCATGGAAAAGCAGATGAATTCCAAATTGCAGAACTAATCTTAAAGCAGCATCAAATTAAAGATGTGTTACAAATAGGTATTATTTTTATTTTTCTTGTGACTAGCAAAAACAGAAAAGCAAAATTTTTGTTCTCACTTCTGCTAGACTATTTTGTAGCTGTTTGTTATGAAGTTTTTGCCATTTTCATAATTGATGTTGTATGCTACTCTAGCTTTGACCAAGGAGACTGCATTTCAAAATGTAGAATGTCAATTTACCAACATCTTCACACTTAACATAGTGAACTCATTTGTTCTCCAGCATGCATAAAACTATTAAGCTTGGATCAGTTTCCAAATTAAACCCTGTCTAGGGCGCTGCTTTATTATACCAAATACTTAGATGACTGTTCCAAAGCTATTAGAACATCTACTTCAAAAGCACTAGATACAACAAAGGTAGTTACTCGAAAAGGCTCTTCTATTGTGTATTTTCATTTTTTTAAGGATTTCACTTGACTGGATTGGTGATGTACAAGTTTAAATCGGATTTGTACAAGGTCTCCATTACATTTGACCGATGCCAAATTGTGACTAGCATTTGTTCCTGCAATCCAAATGCCACTTGGTGCGCCCATATAATAGCTCTATGCTTGTTTAGAATGCGCTTCCCAGAGCTTGTTTGTTTCAGAGCACCCATTTCTGAATCATTGTCTAAATTACAAAGAGACCAGCTACAAAAATTTACACAATATTTGATATATGAGCTGCCTTCCCAGGTATGAAATTTCTTTACTATCAATAATTTCTGCTTTGAAGAGTTCTTTTGATGTTAGACAAACAAGGATTAGATGTTGTAGGCATGAAAATTGTTTCAATCAACATATTGTATCAAATTTTGTACCATTTATCAAATTAGGACTTATTTTTTGCATGTAATTTGACACCTTTGTTCCTCTACTTCACTCTTTATTGCTCTAACCCGGCGATTTAACTTCCATCTGCATTTGATATATATTTAGTTAACAAGCTTGTTATTTGTTTTTTTAGTTGATTCAGATGGGAATAACGTTACAGAAATTTGATCAGCTATTCGGGTGGGGAGAGCCAAAAAGCTAATCAACTCACAATTATGTAATTTTATTTTTATTTTGTATAGACAAAGTTTACAACACCACTAGCTGTAAATCCTTACCCTTGTTCTCAATCTTTTATGTCAACATTACACTAGTTTCATCGAATTACTGATTAAATTTGAATTATTATAGGAGACATATGTGTGGAAGACTCATAGTCTATTTTTCCTGCTCAACTCGCAAGGAATCACTCTTATCTTTTTCTCAATCTATGTTCAGGTTCTTCCAACTGCACAAAGACTTCTTGACGAGTTGCTGCTTTTTCCCTTGTCCAGAATTAATCAACTTAATGGAGCTCCAGGTGACTGTAATCAAATAAAATGTATTCTCTAATCTGGCTTTCCTTTGCATCAATAAAATATTGGCCTCTCAACAGTGTAATAAGTTATCCGTGTGATCATGAAACTTTTTAAATCAGTCTAAAATAATGATTTATGAGAGATATTAATTAACTATTTAAGTTGAGCAAATGTTCACGTATTGCATTTTTCTGTACGTGTCTGAATTAATCTGCAAGTGCAATCATCAGACTAGGACCCCTGTTTTGTTGTATTATGCGGTGTTTTCTTTAAAGAAATTAAATACGGAAGGAAACTGAAGCAACATTAGACAAGAAAGTTGTATGTTGTTAATAGCTTCCATATCAGTTATATACCAATGGGAATGTAATTTAATTTATGCATGTTTCTTCACTTTAGATCCAACTGCAGGTGCTGGTTTCATTGACATGCCAAAATGGCTTCTTGATGTAGAAGCACTCAGGGATAATATTCGGAAAATTCTCTGCAAATTCTATGGGCCATCTCCTGTTGCCTTTGTTGATTTCAGTTCGACATTTTTATCAACTGCTGCACCTACATCTTCCGTAGAATGGTATGTTAAGCTATTATGTTCACCCTGTCGTAATTTGAAATTGTATAGCCTTGCATTTATCATTCATCTTTTATGTTTTTGTCTTCGATGTGAACGCATGCAACTTTTAAGGATAAACCCATGATAAACCCGTCGTTTAATGGTAAACCCGCCACAAAGGATCGACTAATGACCACCATCGAATCAACCAGTTGGAAGAAAGAATGCATAATGGATTATTTCATTAAAAATCGACGTCTATTTGACTTGAGAAGGAAACCGATGCCTGGGCTTGGCGTATTATGCCCGCCAGATTGTATTTTTTAGGGTTGTATGAGAGAAATTTATTCACATTATTCAGGGGATCAAATAGAAGAACAAGCACTAACGCGCACGCACTTTTAGCGAGTTCTAGTTTACCGCAGTGAACCCAACCCTCTATTCTGTACTCATGCCATGAACACCATACGCGTGTTTTAAAAATTCAAGATGGGCACAACCAATATTTCTAAAAAACGAAGAAGAGAGACAGATGGTGAACTTGATGAACCCAGTTCTAAATTGTCCTGGACCACCGATTTTTTGTGGCTCAGTACATTGATTCTGTTCGAGTTGGATTTTTTGAAAAAAAGATGACACTCAAAGCTGAAATTCAAAGGCTGTTTCATCCGACACAATCGACGTATGTAATATATGGGTACAACGCAAGTATGATTGAAATGAGTCAGTTGATGACGTACTTAGGTTATCAATGGCTCAATAACAAACCATTATTTCAAAGGTGTCGCCTTTGATTTAGGGTTGAAATTCTAGGGATTCAAATTTATTAATAAATTACATTACCAAGCATTAGAGACACTATACATCTAAGACTGTCGTCTGCAACATACCATATAACTAGTACATTGATTGTAAGGTACGTGACCTGTTCAAACAAAGCATCTTCCAAAATTTTTGCTAATCTTCGGTAAAGTTTGGTAAGTTCAAGGACATATTACTTTTTGTTCAGAAGTGAAATGATTTGCTCGTTTTTTCATTTTTGTTTTCGTTCTGATAAGCCAGCACTGTATTGAAGGTAGTTGACTGTACCGTCGTAAAGTAAAAGATCGATGTAAAATGATTATTCATAAATAGACATTGGACTTTTGTCAATGCCGATAGCCTTGGTGACTGGATACGGTTTTTTGTCTACGATTTTCTTATTCGACTCATCTAGTAATCTCATCTGCGTTACACGAGACCAGAGTCGCTTCATCTAATTATGATATTTTGTTACTTCGCTGGATAGATCGCACTTTGATTTTTATACTGCACTCCTATTTTACGATAGGCTTGATCTATATTTAGCGTTTTTTGCGCGCATTTATCCTTGCCTAAACCCTTTAATATTTCATATATTTACGTAAATTGTGCAGCAGTCTTAAGTGTTATTTCTACTTTTTGTAGCCGTTTTTATCCAATACAATTAAGCTACATTGAAGCAATATTTTCAATAGATTAACTAAATAGATAAGATTTTTAAAAGAGTTTTTATTTCCAAGCTAAAAATTTTGCGTGCGGTTTTTTTAATTCTTAGCCATCGCTCCTATTGTAGGATGGGTCTTCTGCGCCCTTATATTTCCCGAGAGCCAGAGGGACTGTGGAATCTACTTGACATCATCAAAGATCTGTTTCAAGCTGGCGACCCAAATAGTTCGGAAATTTTGCAGATAGTCACCGAGGAGTGTCTCAATGTTCACCAGCTTTCTTTGTGGTGGTTTTCTAATGGAGTCGAAGTGGAAAGCGGTGATTGGAACTCTTGTCTTTCTCCCCATGCACTGCAAAGTCATACGGGAAGAAACGTAACTACCATTCAGCTAGCGAAAAACGCTGGAGTTAGATTGCTAGACGAATGTGTCGATTTGTGGAAAACAGCTTTGATAAATCCTGGTATATCTTTGTCTCAGAAGCAAATCATACGAACGAAATTGGAATTATGGCAAAAGAGCATCATTGAGAAGGCAAAGAGGGGTTTGTTTTCACTAACCACATTCTATTGCCAAATAAGAACGTCTTTTTTGAGATTGTTTTTTAACGTCAAGTCGCGATATTTTAGTTTTGTTGGAGAGCTAAAAAATTTTATCAGGGTTGTAATGTTAGTGTTTTTATATAAGTAGCAAGTGCATTCTATTGCCTATAAGCATTTCTCAATCAATTATCTTACTGTATTTGCTAAAATTTATTTTTCATTACTTCAGCTGGCAAGTCTGCTTGTGCACGTGAAAACTTCACTGGTTTCCAGCCAGCAATCGATGTCACTGGAAAGAACTGGGAACTCTTTTTGGCAAAATTTGGTGTTCAACTAGGTGAAGAGTTTATTGCGATTCTTTCCATTTAATTTTGATGATATTGCTCGATGATATTATCCGCTTGTTACTGTTCAATATTATTTCTATCAGATACCGTATCTTTTACAGTTATTTGAAAAAAATATAGCAATACATAAGGCATATCATTGTCAACTAGCCTGATAACCAGACCCCGATTTCAAAGGAAATAGTGGTCGGTTCAGCGCAGCGCCAAATCGCGCTTAACCTTACACTGTATAATTAGAGTTTCCAAAAGTGGCTAGATAATATAGGCCAATTTCAACGACTCAGCAGCACCCACCAATGGCGGCGAAGGAAGGGAGAAGTGATATTGAAGAGTTGGGCGATGCTATTTCTTCGACGTAGAAGCGCTTATGCCAGATCAAATTAACAACTTGGAACTGCCATCTTCGCACAAAGAAGGAAATGGCGAGTGGCTGCGCCTTTCAAAACGCAAAGGAGGAAGAACTCTCTAATTATGTGCATAAATTTCCACCAAACCTTGGATTTTATTGCATGGAATTGAGGTTCTCCAACACGATTTGGCGCTGCGCTGAACGGACCACTGTTTCCTTCGAAATCGGGGTCTGGTTGTCAGGCTAATTGTCAACCAGCATCACCTCACTTCAATATCACTTGAAGTCTTTTTGTATTGCAGCGTTGGAGATGAGCTTTTAGTAAATGGGAAAATGGACTAGTTGTTACTCTCGTATTCCCTAAGAGTGACAGTATAACAGATTTTCGTCACCTTAACCGTTTTGTAAATTAAAGAGAATCCCTTAATTTTCAATTCACTGATATCGAAAAAAAGATAGCAAGGACAGCTACTGGATGATCGAAAAGTATTCTTATGATGTATTTGTCGAGCTTTTATCATGGGGTATCTGAATATTCGTGCATATAAATCAAATGTTTTTTATTGAAAGAAGATATTTGTCCATAGAATAGTGCTATTATCGCTTTCTCTTCACCAAATATCACACTGGCTATGTCTTTAAACTACAGTTGACATCCGCTATCTCGACCTCTGAAGGGAAACGAAAAGTTGTTCGAGATAGCGAATGTTCGAGTTATCGGATCACCCCAAAAAATCCAATTTTTTTTTAAATTTCGAAGGTTTAACAGGCAGCAAAAAAAGATATGTAGTCATTAATACAAAATTACAAGTCAAACTAAATCATTAAGAAAAATAAGCATCTAATGTCATTTGTTTTCTCTTTCTAACCAGTTTCTTCTCTATAACACCATTCATTTTAACGAAATGCTCAAGGAGCACTTCTCAATTCCCTGAGAATAGGCAATATCTTAATATTACCTCCATCTCGTCTCTTATTTTGTCCGTTGTTGGCTTTGTCAAAGGGTTGTCGTTGCTTTATTGGCTGTCCTCTTGGCTGTCTTCTTGGCTGTCTTCTTGGCTGTCTTCTTGGCTGTCTTCTTGGCTGCCTTCTTGGCTGCCTTCTTGGCTGTCTTCTTGGCTGTCTTCTTGGCTGTCTTCTTGGCTGTCTTCTTGGCTGTCTTCTTGGCTGTCTTCTTGGCTGTCTTCTTGGCTGTCTTCTTGGCTGTCTTCTTGGCTGTCCTCAACTTCAACAACTTCTTCACCAATAAGCTCAGCTATGATTTAATCTTCAGTTGGCAATACTGCTCTTGCTAAGACTTGGTCGTCGCAGTCAATAAATTCCTCTGCACTTGTGTTGGCTGGAGCAAATTTTTGATCTCTATTTCGCAGTTTCATCAATTCTTCCACCAACTTTTTAAAAGGATCATCTTCCTCTGATGCTGCTTGATGTTGATTTTCGAAAGAAGGGCCAGCTTTGGCAAAGCAGTTAACGATTGTCGTTTCAGATACCATAGACCACGATGCGGCTAATATGTCAATTGCATCCAAATTTACTCGTATTTTTAATTTTCTCACATAACCAAAAACAAAAAGTTAGAGATAGCGAACACTTTTCGTCGAAGGGAAACAGAAAACGGTTCGACATAATGAATATTCGAAATAGCGAGCAGTCGAGTTAGCGAACGGTTTTTCTATACTTAACCCTATAGCAAAACCAAGGGAAACAGAAATTAGTTCGAAATAGCAAATGTTCGAGATATCGGGCAGTCGAGATAGCGGATGTCAACTGTATGTCTTAATCCAGGTGAGTCATGGCGCCCTTGGAACACTTGGGTGAAACTCATTTCCTTTGCGTTTGTGACCTTGATCTCGACCTTCGATACCTTTGCGACGTTTCCTAAGGGTATCACTATATTTGTAACATTTTCATATCGGACTGGCTTGGTAATAGCTTTGTTTTCGGTATCTTACTTTCTTCGGTGTTTTCTTTTAAAGCAGACGTTTCTTTTCCAATAGGTATTGGCTATCGCATCAAATTTTTGGCAAATAAAAGAAAATTTCTTTGCAATCGTGCATAGATTGGGAGAAAGTGGCGCACATTGCCTTGAATCAATTGCCATAACCTTTTCGATGAACGTCTTATACTCCGTTACCAAATATTACCTCTATGATTCTTAAAAACCCTTGATCCACATTCCACAGTGCATTCTATGCAAGATAACTATTAATCTTTGACAAAGGAGTGGTAGGTTAGTTTACAGTGTTTGGGAGAAGCTTGTTCGTGCAATGCCAAAACAAAGCATAATAAAATTTTTCGTTTTTTAGGTGAGGTCGCGTCCTTGGCTTCTGAAGCACCATCGCAACAGTAAGTCATCTGGCTCTTTGTATTGATAAAACTAGCCAAATTTTTGCTTTTCAAAATATTTAGAACTGTTTGCTTCTGTTGGAACATCCAGAAAATGTTGGTACATGTTGGTACATTCAGATTTTTTGCGTCTGAATGTACCATGGAACTGCCTGCAATGGTAGAAATTTGTAGAAAGATTGAGATATTTAAATTCTACTTTTGTTTGAATAAAGTTTTTGTCCCTGTGTTAGATAGTTTATTCGTGGATATATACAATTGCACTCACTTGCAGCTGCTTACAAAGTATAAAGTCTTTACAGTTTTGGCACATGTAGATGTTTATGTCGTTGGTGCTTGCTCCAAGCAGGTCCGCCAACTGGGGCCACAAGAATGCGATGGCCCCTTTAGCCCGTAAACAAATTAAGGGTCAGCTGATAATTAATCGATCACTATTTAAAAATGACCCTTGATAACATGGTAATAACAAATCTTATTTGTCCTGTAAAGCTTAAAAATGTTTTACGACTTCGAATTGAAAGTAACTAAAAATGCATGCATTCTAAATCCATACTGAATGCACTTTAGGTTTATTCTTTTCGGTAGGAAGGGTCCCATGCATCGGATCTGTCCCTAGGCCCCGGCGTAGGTCTAGGCGGTCCCCTGAATCTGCGTGGGACTTTATCTCTTGCTACATTTGAAAGGAGTACCAAATAGCCGAAGAATTTGAGGCGCTATGTTTTTGCAAGAACGGTGGCTAGCCCATCTTTGGAGGTTTGATTCTGTCGATAAAAAAAACCTGAGCGTGAACAGAAAGAAAGAGGTCGTTTGTCAAAGCACCATATCAGACAGTAGCGGAATTCTAATTGTGAAAACAAAATTCGAGCAGCAATGCTGCATCATCCCGCCCTGTTTTTCGTTTCTGCTATTTATCAATTGCGGAAGAAGTAGTAGAAAACTGAATGAGACAATTGTTTCTTTTAAGAGTGTGCCCTTTTCCTGAGAATCCACAAAGTTATATTCAAAATTGTTTATTCTTTAATTCTCTGCCTCTGTTTCTTTCTTAATTTCCCATTTTTACATTGTTTAATCAGACTGTAACTGGTCTATTTCCTTTTTTAAAGAACCTTATTCGAATCAGAAGAGCAAAACACACTTGGTATCACATTTGAGGAAATTGAAGATCTCTTTACCTGCATTTACGCTTTGGATGCCCTTGGGTTTACATGTGCAAAGCGTCTAGCTGTTACCCTGGCTACAAAGCTGCTGTCCATTTCTGTATCTGAATACCAACATTTTTCAATAGCTGTGAAGAGTTCATTTCTTTGTCGTGTTTTGAAGGACTACAGTTGCCAACATCTAGCCTTCAAACTGGCTTTGTTTGCACTTGCTTTTCCAAGAAAACCGGCCGTGACAAAGTCAGAAGAGGTTTGTTCTTTTTTGGAGAGAGAAATTGCTCTAACCGTCTAATCTTGGGCCTTTTTATAGCTCTCTAAACTGGTTTCTAATACTCACAATGTCGAGAAGAGCCATTGCAAATGTTAGGGTGTTTTTTGCCGATTTCCGGTAAAAACTCAAGGCAAGGATATTAAAAGTGAATAGATGAGACAATTAACAGAGATGCGTCATTTGACATACCATTAATCATTCAATGAACAACATTAAACGGGGATCTTGTTTTAGCAGAAGAGAGTAGATTCATGACAACGTAATAAAGACGAAATGTAGAATCTACACGCACAGCTACCATGAAGTGACATCTTGATCACCGAAGACGATTCAAGTTTCATATTACACAATATTTTTAGTCCTGCCTTTATTGTATTATGGTACATTGAATTGATACTTCGGCAGCTTTGCTATAAGGATGACTTAACCTATCATTGTAACATCGTTTCTTCTTTTTACGAACAGGTGAAGCTTTTACATTGCGAGTTAAACCTACGATCTGCTTTGATGTCGATGACCATTGGGATAGAAGAATTGGAACTTGTCAGATCATGTGCCTATGAAGTCAGCAGTTTTGAAGCTAGGAACAGGCGACAATCAAAGCCACATTCGAAGCCACTCATTTTCTCCATATATGTACTAGAGGTATTGACAGAAGCTGCGGTACAGTCTCGTCTTCTTAAGAGATTTGAAACAAAGTTTTCTGATGATTGTAAACCTACTGAAAGAGATAAAGAAATAGGATATCAGTTCGCCATTTCATCGTTAGGTGGGTTTATTTGAGATAAAATATTCCAAACTAGCTATCGACTATCGTTTTTCTTTCAAACAAATAAATATTCTCTCACCCTTTGTTTTAATATCACTTTTTCTTCGCAAATTTACATAAGTTTTGATATCACATCTCCACAAATTTTCGAACATATAAATTATTCTTGTAATTTCAAATTCATATACTTTTGTACTAGCAGTTAACTACTTATTGGTAAAGCCTCTGTTTTGTTACTTTCTAACGGATATGTTTATTTCTTTTAAAACCGTTCTGGTGGCTTGTAAGTACCTTTGGGATATTTTATATCGCTGTTTTACAGGATAAATTTGTCTTCTAGCGTGGGGCAGAAATATGGCTGAAATGAAGCATACAATGCTCTGTGAAAGCATGCGGCAGTTTCGAAATGACTTGTCTTTAACCTTGTTGTGGCATTATCAAAACGACGTGGACAAATTGGATGAAATACTGTCATTCATATTCACCGAAACTGATGGGAAAACCGAGGACTCTAGTAGCGACAGTCAAAAGCCTCAAGAGGCTGCCATTCCCAAAGAGGATGCCTCAGGCCAAAGGTAATATTGATGTAGGCTTCGATAGCTTCATTCTTTCGGTTAAGTTTCTTCCAAAATACCAACCATAGGCTTTGGTCTTCTGAATTACCTTGTGTTTTTATCCCACACGATGTTTCTCCTCTCGTTTAAGAAAATGTGCGTTGGAGAAGTTTCTACACGGTTCTGAGAGTTTCATGAAATTTGTTCATATTCAAGAAAGAATGTCCCTGCGACGCCTTGATATACGACAACTGCTCATAGATTAAAACTGCGTTGATTTATATGACGGATTATAATTAGCTTCCCTGGCTACTTTGTATTGCTGAATTGGAGAATTTTGGCGTATTTGAGGTATCCGAAATCCGTCTTAGTAGCGAGTAGCGTCTATCAACATCACCAGTAAGACGATCAGGAACACGTAATTCCCTAAGTCAGGCTAACTCATCGTTATTCTACGACAAGCGCTATGATCAACATTCCAGTCTTTATGCGATATTGACTTTTCCTATATCAGCCGTGGAATCCTCTGAAAAGGTTCTAGTTTCAAAAGCATTTTTAATCAAAGTCTAGGGTAAATTGATTCAGTCAGCTGAGTAAAAGCAAAAGGATGAGCCATGTAGCACGATCAGTTAAGAATGTTTAATGTTATCGAAGCGCTAACAATTACATCGAGAGCGTGTTTGAACTGATAGACTTACTTTAGCTGGTTTATTCTGTCTACTGTTTAGGCGTCATGCTATTCAGGTGTGGCAATATTGTCTTGTTCACTTTAATGTTTTCATTAAGACTTCCCCGTGTATTTTCATTAAAAGAGTTTTTCAAGCCTATATTATTTTTTATTCTTTATTCCGTGATAGATAGCTTAAGACAAAAAGCTTAATTTTAAGAGAATAGCTGGTGATGATAATTATGATGATAACGATAATGAATTTTGTCATCGTGATAAAATGACAGCTTCCCTATTTTTTGTAGGTTTTTATTACTTGAAAAAAATAGTGGCATTTGTAAAACGAGATCAGGAGGATCAAACCAAAGTCAACCTGTCCAAACTTACGAAGTAAATCAATGCGAAAATTGGGATGCAGAAATAATTCTTGCTTCCAACAAAGTGGGTGACGAAACTTTGATAGCTTTTTCAGAACCAATTTGTGACAATATTAAGGAGAGAGATGCAGAATCACAATCCTGTGGATTCACCCTGGAGCAACAAGAGGTCGACAAATTTCTCCAAAAGAACGTGGCAATCAAGAACTCTGAAACCGATTGCAATGTCAACAAAAGCGTTAAGATAGAAAATTTTGATCTTGGAGCAAACACGCAGAGCGTTCATTCAAAAGGAGAAATAATTGAGATGGCTAAGGACGCATGTAATTATATACCTATTTCTGGAGAAGTTGAAGTCGACTTGAAAGAATTTCAAACTGGTGTTTCTCCCTCTTGGTACCTTGATGGCAAAAATACTTGGGACCCTGCTTTATCGTGGGCAGAAAGATGTGAGTCGCAGGAAGATTTTTTCTTGCCTAGTCTTGATCTCGGTGAGGGATCTACAGAAAACTCGACTCATAGTAAAGGAAACAAGGTCATTTATGACTTTCACTTAGAGTGTGATTCTTTTGCACTGTTCGAATTGGCCAAAGAATTACATACCAAAGCCGTGGATCGTAACGATACTGGATCTCTTGGAGCAAATGCAGGCTTTGTCCCTGGACAATGCAAAAGTTTGCAAATAATTTCATTCAAACTGGCAATTTTTTCGCTTCAACTTCAAAATCGTACCTCTCCAAAGTGGCTTTCTAGAACATATTCACCACATGTTGCTTGGATTGCAGATAAGTCAGTTGCAATCGGGTTTCAAGCTCTGCAAATTTTAAATGAAAAATGGGAAAATACTCTAACCCCTACAGAATCTCTCGGTATAGCCTCCAGGACTTGGAGAGCTGGCGATGCTTCCTGTAAACGTGCAGCTGCGGAACTAGCAGTTTCTTGCCTTCCTCAGGCTCACACACTAAACCCTGGTGAGATCCAAGAAGCTATTAATCTGTGCAAAGAGCAAGATTTTGGAATGCTAGAGCGCGCCTGTGCTTCGATTGAAACAGCCTCCGTTCAGGGTGGTATTCAGCCTGAGATTTTGTTTTATGTTGCAAGGCAATGGCAAGTTATTCATGAAAATATTTCACAAGATAAAGACACCAAAAGAAAGTTTGGTCACGAAAAGGCATACCTGTGTTCTTCAAGCACCCGTATGAACACAGAGTCTCGCGATTTTCTATACGAGAACGGTCAGGCCGCTTCGAAGTCTGATAAGGAATCCCAGCATGCCTCTTTCGTAAAACAGCGTATCGAAAAAATGTCTTCACTTGCGACTGCTTACAAAGGTTTGAAACTTGAGCCTTCTGCATTCGAAGAGGAAAAACATGAAGGCAGGTTTTCCGATAAAACTGTTCGAACAGCGGAGCAACATGTACAACGACAAATGCATCGAATGGCTCAAGAGATGATGAAGCAAAGTTTTTTCCAGCAGAAATCAGGGAAGGCTTCCAACGACTCTTCGATTTTCTGGGCTAATCGTCTTCATGCCGGAATGCAAAATCAGCATGAGAATGCCCGATCCCATTCAAAAAGCAATGTTTCTGCCGAAGCTCTTAATAGCAGCCCATTTTCTGGAGTGCGTTGGCCGAACAATTTTGAATCATGCAGGATCTGTACCAAATTGAATAATGCTTTTCGCATAGGCATGAGAGCCTTGCAAGCTTTGGCAGGAAGAGGACTTGAAGAGCGTCCTGATGTAAAATTTGCTCCATCGTCACCGTGCTCCGATGACGTTCGTTGGCTATGTGCCTTAGCTGCCTCTTTGGGACCTCCGTATTTGAGAAGCTTCTGTGCAAATGTCACACCATCAGTTTGTAGCCCCTACCTTTTGCACGACCTTGCATTGGAGGCAGCCCGTAATTTTGCCATTTACAGCCCAGCGCAACCAAGCTCGTCACATTTACAGTCACCTGCTGTATATCCGATTGTCCTGAAATGTTTAGCTATGTACACAGACCTGGTGAGACGCGATCTAGTTCTCCTTAACCAAGCTGGCTATCCCGACTTTGTGGAGTTGTTACGGCGTGTACGCAGTGCATTCTGCATGGCTCCTGGGGGCATGACAAGATTCAACGAACTACTGGAAATGATAAAAAAGAGTTTTCCAAAAAAAAGGGATCTTTGGCAGCCTATCATGAACGGACTGTCCAGAGCATGAAACACTGATTTTCACACTGTTTTTTTGCTCAAGCCCCCATCCCCCCAATAATAAGGTGCTTTATGAGAGCAATTCGGTTGACTAACGCGATACAATACACACGTAAAGGATATTGCATAATTATTCGAAGGAAAAATGCTAAAATATGAACAAGTTCTTGAAGTGAAGCCTTATGTCTTTTTCTCCGTTTTCTTTTAGACCTTCAACTAATGCATTTTTTCTCATTTCTGCATGAATGGGGTTTTTCCTTTTTATCTTGATTGAAACTGTGATGGAGCTCTGTGTTCAATGTTACGTCATTTTCAGAGTTAACAACTGTCCTCTAACGTAATCGAGTATTTGTTCCGATGTTAATGAAGAAGAACATTGTTTTTGTATCATTCCTTGAGTTTAAAGATATAATTGTTTTTACATTAGACCGAGATGTGAAGTTCTTTGTATGTTGTCACCCTGTAGTGTCCCCCCGACGAACAAATGAATGAAGATTATGCTTATTCAATTATAATAATTTAATACATTTAAATGGGTTGAAATGTGAAATCGGCTTGAAGAATCACGTGGGTTACCTCGATCGTAGTAAATCATTGTATGCTCTGCTGAAGAACACCTTGACTCCTCTTTCTGATCTAATATCACTTATCACACGCATCGGAATTTCAACTATTAAAGTAATTAGGAATTTTCATAGAAAATTTTGTCTCCATTGTGTGCACGGAAACGGTCAACTTATTTTACAAAAGAGGAAAATTATGGGGCGGGAGCATGGTGAAAGAACTGCTTAGTTGAGTTGTTATTGTTGAGTGTGCGGTTCAGACTACGGAGCGTGGGTTCCATCGGCGCAAGCGTAGTTGAAATCTAGACGACAGTCGCTTCGGAGTGAAAATTGTCGGGGAAAATGGTTATTGTAAATGCACTGTTTTTGAATTTTTATTTACTTATGCTTCTTTCCAGCAAGTGCTTCTTGCACGTGGGTACTGCACCGACGAGCAAAAGCTTTGAACGAATCCATAAAGGAGAGAGCGAACACGAGATAAGCAGGAAAGTTGTCGCTCCAAAATATATGACAGACCTTTACGACATCTTTGTTGATAGGCATGGAAGAAGGCGAGAAGGCATAACTACAAGAATAAACAAAGTCAGGTGTTTTTTATCAGGTACATTTTCACTATTTCTATTTGATTTACGACGTTAACAGTATAACTGTAATGTAATTCATCAAATTCATCCCTATATGTATGTCTCACTTTCATCATGTGAAATCGGTGTTGTTAAATCAAAACGGAATTCTGCATGTATATTTGTCATTCGGCAAAATATCTCTAAATTTTGCTATGTTTGCCCAGCACTCTCGGTCAAGTGACTAATTTCCCACTTTCTTTTACGTTGGTGGCCTTCTCGTACCGTAATAAAATTTGCAATGAATAAACAATCCTTCGATTATAAGTAAAGTATGTATGTGATGTATTGTCAGGTTTTGCCAATCTTAAGTTTGGCGGGATGAGTTGCCTCCTTGTCGCATAATATTGAATTTCAATTTGTGGTACATGGGTCGCCGAACTGATAAACTTGAAGGTTTTCATTGCCCATTTTCATCTAAATAATATAGGATTTGTTATAGAAGGTTGAGCAACAGAATTGTCCTTGGCCCTGTTAATATAAGAGATTACTTTTGTAAGTCAAACTTATCCTTTTTTGAACAGCATAACATTTAAATTGCCCTACTTAATTGACCACCTCAATTCTTGATTGAAACTCTATATGATGAGCATCCAATTGACTTTCTCTTTCATGTGTTGGCAAATAAATGGATCTACGTTCCTACCGAAACTTATTCACATGACAACGACAAAACTCGCCTTCGCCACACTGCGCTATTTCTTCTTTTTACTAAGACTTGGATTAACTTTGTTCCATGGCAGCAAAACCTTAATAACAAATGTATATCAAAATTGTTTTTTAAAGATGAAGTTGTTTTTTAATGATCTTTGATTTGTTCAAAATGACCGCACACTGTCGAGATGAGATGTGACTACAATTCATGGGGGGTCTTAGACGAATGAGAGCGGAGAGCTAAGGCAAACAGCCAGTTGTTTTCTGTCTTCTGTCTATTGCGCTATGAGTTTGCTATGCCCAATAGGGCAATTTCTCTTCAGGGAGAAGGTCTTGAAGATTTGAAGTTGAAATATTATACGAGAATTACAGTTATCTCCTTGAAAACTCTACCCGTATTTGTTTATGATTGGAAATTTGGAAATCAGAAAATGTTGCTTGTTTGTTCTAATTGTAAAATGTTTTCGCTAAAAAGCATTTCTTTGGTTCAACGAAGATCGTGTTTTTGTTAAAGATATTTGCTTTGTGAGCTACGCACCTCATTTAGATAAGCAAAAAGAAAAGGGTTGAACGTCATGGAAAATTTGACAAGATCTATGTAATTCGAGACCTTTCAATTCCATGTAATTAAAGGTAAAACCGGAGATGGATTCATTCATTAATCTCTAATCCGCGTGAAATTGCAGAGATAAACGCTTAAACAAAGAAGATAGTTAGAAGTTGCGAAACAATCATAGTGTATGAGACAGAGAATGACTCTTGGCAGTGACAAAACGTATTGTGTCATCATTTAGCGTCCGAGCTAAACTTGTGTTAGACCAATGCTCCCTGCCATGCCGCACCCCAAAAAGTAACAAACAAACAAGTGGCAGCAGATTAGAAACACACTAATGCACAAGTGTCACTAAAACCCTCCTGTGTGTATGCATGTTATCTACAAGGATGTGCCTTGCTTATTGCACTTATCAACACAAATCCAGCTGGATAGGTCTGTTGAAAATAACGTCACCGTATTTATTGCAGGTTGAAAGGCATTTTCTTTGATTAAACACTTTCAAATTTACCAGAACTCGTGTTTTAACAATGGACTATTTCTTATTTCGTTGTATCATTTACAATAAGATCTTTGCGTAGTTCACAATGAATTAGTGGTCACTCGATTTTTACAAGACTGCTGGACAAAATTTAGTTTACATTTTTTAGAGTAACAAACCTTTGTAGTGCGCATCTTAGAGGTTAACTTCGATTTAAAGTAAGGAACTGTTTCCACTTTGTTATTTAAACGTTTATTGCTAATATCAAATTTTATTTTTTTTAAATAACTAATCCAAAAACTCTTTTAATAAAGGAGCAGTTGTCCAAAATATTCCCATTTTGCTAGCTAGAACTAGCAACCATAACCTGCAACTCAACCTAAGAAAATCAATTTCAAAATTCTCGAAAACATTCTTATGCAATGATTATAGTATGAGAAGTGTGTCTTATTACCTACCAACATTTACTTCAAAACATCTACCATTATTAAGCACCGCGGAGACGGTAGGGGGGGGGGGAGCTGGGAGCTTCAGCCAACTTGGAAAAAAATGAACTACCAGTAAAGCCACTTTTTCAATTTTAGCAGCCCTCCCTCTCCCTCCCCCCCCCCCCCCCCCCCTAACACACTTTTTTAGACCCCGTTATTTTGTCAAAACTGCGCGGTACCTGATTAAAGATAAAAGTTGGGGCAGAGAAGTTGACGATTAACAAACATAGATATGTAGTTGTCGGAAACATCACTTGTATAGGATTGTGAAAGGGAAAATGATTCAAAGGTTGCGTATAAAAACATAAGTTAGTCTCGTGAGGAGCGACTAATGCTCAAATTAACCAACTTTAGGCTCATCTTCAAGTCACAGAAGAGAGCTTTTAAATCCCTGTTGCAAATGTTGAAATGGCCTCTCATGCAAAAACTTGTGACCCCTTTTTATTGGTCTCGTGGTCTTGATTTTGTACTCTAATCTGCTGGTCATTATTTTGTATTTGGTTTTTCATATTTTTTCATTAGTTTTTCAGTAGTTAGCGCTTGCATTTCGAAAATTTAATTGTTTAACCAGGAAAGAGATCTCGCGTTCCGCGATTCAAACTGATGGACTTAAATCAGCACGGTTTCAATTTTTCCTTTTTCATTTCATAAGTTTGTTTTGTAGGTTGAAACATAGGGTCGTAGTTATTCAGGGACGCCGGAAAGACCAAGAGGCAAAGGGGAAGGGTTGAGTAGAAGGACATTTGAAAATTAATACCCAGCTACCAAGAATTCTTTCTTAATCAATCTGTCGATATCTTAAAAATTGGATAATTTAGGCATAAGAAATTTCTTTGCAAGCTTTTAGAAACGTCATCATAAATAGGGCAGGATATCATATGAATATCTTTGATATCATACAAAAGGCCGGCATCAAGAGCAGTTCAATAAAAAGGGCACTTTAGTCCCCCTTGCCCCTCCTATGAAAAGGCAACAGGGGCGGTTGACCCCCCGCGCCCCCCTTTCCGGCATCCCTGTAATTACTTTTAGGCCTTGAAAGTGCATGATAAATTTTGATGTAGCAACATTGAGTTTAAGGCGAACGTTACAACCACCTAGCTGTAGATGTTGGCTGGGGGGGGGGCAACTCGAGCAAGAGCCATACCTTAGGGGGCAGGCTTTTAAAACAAGAAAACAGATGTATAACAGACAGATTTATTTGGACTAAATCAAGGTCATGGAATTAAAAATATGCCAAATTTTCAAAATATCATTTGAAGAAACTGTAGCCAGAGGGGGCAAGTTGTTGTCAAAATTTTCATTTAGGGGGCACAGCCATTGGTGCCTCCTGCAGCTATGTGGCTGGAACGTTAGCCAAAGAATCTAACGTTCTCCTTTTTTTTCTTCGGGCAACATGTGACGAATGTAATGAATAATATGAAAACAAATTTATCATAGTGCATTTAGGAGTATATTTCAATGCTATATAGAGAATACAATTTTAATAGCTATATGCTTAATGAATGACCTTGAAGGTTTTTACATTGTAGACGATAGCATTCAGGCGGGTTTCCACTTCATTCGCTCTGGTCGCGCGACTGAGCAAATGTGCATTGGGGCATGCGCAAATTGAACTTCCTCATTCGCTGCGAATGCGCGACAATTCGTTGAGAAGTTCAACTCAGTTGAGCTACTGGGCGACTGGTCGCGTTCGCCGATTCGCTGACTTGTTGATTCAATTTCGCCAATTCGCGCGACCAGAGCGAATCAAGTGGAAACTGGCCTTTACCGTCAATAGTGTTACAGGCGAGGCCCTTACAGGCGGTAACATTACAAGCGGTAGCATTACAGGGGGTGAGAGCGTTACTGACGATGGCGTTACGGGCGAGAGCATTTCAGACGAGAGTATTTCAGGCGATGGTTTTATAAAAGTGGAGTTGCAGTTGGCAGAGCGTGTCGAAGTAGATTTATAGTCTCATCAACGTCTCGATTCCTGTTGAAAAGAAAGATAAAGTTTTAGTTTTTTTTACCAAATAAGATCACTGCTCTTCTAATGAATAGAAATAGCAGTCCTGATATACAGCGTTCTGGAACGCTTTTTCTAGTACCTCGTACATGTGTACGTGATAACGTTATTGACGTTCAAAATTACCACAAATTACCGAAAACCAAAGACATTGAAAAATGATTGATTCGGCGATTGAATGATTGATAAAATATTATTTCCAATTGCTAAGTGCAGAGCCCTTTCCATGTTATCAGTTTGTGGGATAATATTATAAGATATGCAAATTAGCTCAGTGTTCTAAGAATGTTCACCACAAAATCATTTTTTTAAAAGAATGTCAGAAGTTGCCTTACTTAATAATAAGAAGGTATGCGTATTACGCATCAGATTTGCCAGATCTGCGCATGCATTCATATTATAAGATCTGCGAAACAAGCTTGCATTGCCACAATTTTTCACTCTCCTTTCAAGCATTAGTAGCAGCTGTTACTGCAAACGTTAAAATAAAAGCAACTGAAATTTAAGAAAAATCATTTGTCTCAGGTTTTTGTCATTTATACTAAAACCAAATCTCTCGAGAGTGGGTGTGATGTTGAAAATAGAAAAGGCATCTATAGGCACGGAAAACAAAAACGTTTAATAAGATACTTCATTCAATTAAACATTCAGATAGCCCCTCGTTACACTTCTCTACAAACACTTTGCTGCTTTGTAGAACTTGTACCTCACCAACAAAGAAATGCTCCAAACGCAATAAACTTAACTTTTTTTTACTTTATTCTTTTTTGTTTTCTTAGATCATTCATTGGTCAGCCGAGTTTGTGGTTAGTGTAATGCAGCGACACTAGTTAGCGAATTGATGATAATCTGGTTTAGATGTTTTTTGGCACATGAATTATTCTGACAAAGGAGCACAAATTATTACTAAAATTTGCTTATTTTTGCGACATGCAAGGAGATCAAAAATAGAATGATCGAAATTAAGTTAGGGTTATTGACTTTTTTGATGGCATCAGTTTGAAAAGGTCTAAGTCATTAGGTATAATTACCTGGGTTATTTAAAAGAAGCGTTGAGTGTCTTCCAATTCGACTGAAACTATCATTAGCCTGAGTATATTAACGAGGTATGCCCTCCCAAGTTATGGCGCCCCTTAGAGTATTTTCTTCTCATCTTTCAATCTCAAAACTCTCTTATAATAATGGAATCGATTTAACGAAGTGTAATTGTAGTACAAGCGATTCAGCTGGGCCCGAGAGGGTCTGGCACAACTTCAGATGTTTTTTTAAAAGCCAATATTTCTCAGGCTGTTTCGTGGTTAATTGAATGAAAATCCTCTGCTTAATTGACTGACTCAGTTGCATCTTCCTTTGATTTTAGATACCGTGCGTCTATATATCACACAAACTTCTAAAAAAACAATTCTGTCTGTTTTTCTAGATCCATCAGCAAATTTTCGTCGAAGACAAGAACTTGCTTTCGATGTACGGGATATTGCCGGTGGTGAGACAATCGAAAGAGCTGAATTGCAGTTATTCAAATCACGGCCTTTTTCAAAATCACATCAGCGCGGTTTTTTCCAAGTTGAGATAATTGATGTTGCTAGTGGTGAGAAGGAGGCAGTTAGGATTCTCAATAGCTATGGTGGTGGTTGGAAGTCATTTGATTTGACAAATGCAGTCAAAAAATGGCAGCGCCGTATGTCCACTCGCAACCTGATTCAAGTGAAAGTAACTGGGCATACAGATGATGGTTTTTTTGTATATCGGGGTGAAACAACAGAGCGGCTGCCCTTTTTGGTGGTTTATTCTCAAAGTGGTTCTTCAAGGCGAAAACAACACAACTCAGCCGCTTTTAATATGTTTCCATCTTCATTGTCAGTACCTAAACCCGATAGAGGTCCTCGTAATAAAAGGGGCAGTAATGGGCATCCATGCAAAAGGAAAAGTATGATTGTTGACACTACAAAAATTGGCTGGGGGCGCTACGTTTTGGCACCTAGAATTTTTGACGCTTATCGATGCGAAGGTAAGTGTCGAGCTTACTCGTCACAGGCAGTCAAAAAGCAAACGAATCACGCAGTTATACAAGCTATACTGTCGCAGCTAGGTGCCAAACAAAATGGGCGGCAAATACGGCCGCCATGTTGTGCACCTTCTCAGTTTGAGAACAAAACACTTCTGCTGCATCGAAAGGTTAATGGACAATCTGTGATTGGAGTGGAAGAGTTCACTGACATGGTTGTCAAATCGTGCGCTTGTCTTTAGATTCTCTCCAAACCTCGAAGATAATTACTGTTCTGCGACAGACGAGTGCATCCCATTCTTGTACGGCGGATGCCAGCCTCCCAACTGCGAAAAATGTCGAAAAACTGTTGTTGATGCTCTTCCTGTCGATCGAATTGCGTTAGTGCGCAGTTGCTGATGCCCCGTTCCTTGTGCTACTTGTACATGTTAGAGCATGCGCCTTATATCCTCAGTCATTTCGAAAAAGAGCAGATAACTGTCTGGCGTGCTCCATTGCAACCACTCTAATTGTAATCACTCGAGAAACCCAAACAAGAACTTTGAACATTACCAACAATTAACCTTGGTGTATGCTGTCACTACACACAACTGCTCCACACAATCGTAAAACAGTAGTAAATTCCCTCTCTCTCTCTCTCTCTTTCATATGATCTTATCGTGTCTAGTTTTTGTTATCCATTTCATTATCGTGAAAAACATCGCTGACGCAGCAAGGACGCATCTTATGGTAATTTTTTAAATGTTCCAACGATCTTCTACATGGCAGTATGATCTGAAGATTACCAGCAATAACATACAAAACAGGAAAGAGAAGAGGGCTAAACTGCATGATCATCTGTTAGTGGTTTTCGACCCAATTGTATTATCTGTAAAATAAAATTTGTCATTTTCTAACCTTTTCAACAGCTTCAACCAATAAGAATTATCCATTATTCATGTAAAATGTGTATATGTATTCCAGTATAATTCACACGTTGCTATATTTAATGTATGCCAAACAGCATATTAATAGAATAGATTTTTAATTTCTTTTCAAGTCTATCTTCAGTCTGTTTCTCTGACCCATGATAGAAAGATGTTTACTGACCCATGAGGGATATGGACATTTGCCAGTCAAGACCATTATCTGAGAAAATCTGAGTCTTCTATAACAGGGTTTGAAATAGCATTGGTGCTTCTTTGGTCGAAAATTGTTTTGATTTTCCTTCAAATTCAGCCATTGTATGCTCATTTGGCTATGAGTATTTTATATACTAGATGGCCTAGGGCATTTGTCGCCTCCTCCAAAACTTTTAACAGGGTTAAACCGCATCGTATTGAGTGCGTCATATCTACAAAAATTCGAGTGTTGTTTTGAAGTTTTCGACAGATAAATATAAAAACTGAAGGAGTCTCGTCGAACTTTGCTTGGAGTTTTTGGGAGTTCACTGGCGGGGTACATTAAATACAAAAAAATTCGTCATGACAAAATTTCAGAGAAATATTTGACGATATTTTCTTACAAATACAAACCATGTAGATATAGAGTAGAGACTCTTTGAGTGCTAAGATCGTCTCTTTCGATTTGCCTTCGCATAAACTGAGAAAATATACCACCTCCCAATTCCGAACGGGTGCTCAAGTGCCAAAGTTTCTACAGAGTCGGTAACTATGGCACCAAGTATAAAGCAAACTGTATGGTTTTTCCTCATGTCTCTGTGTTGCTGGTAATACATCTGTGTTAAAAATCCTCGACGAATTTTTGTCACGACGAAAATCTTAAAAGTTGTCCGAAATTTTTTTCGACAAAGTTTATCCGCTGAAAATTTATCTGACGAAATGTTGTTAATTTATATACCCTTATTAGCCTGAATAACGGGTTGAATCGTGTGACTGGAAGATATCTCATATCAAAAAGTAGTTAACGGTGCCTAGCACAGTGAGCATCGATGAGAAGAGAAGGCGATGTAGACGTAAAGCCCATTTCATCTTTGTTCGCAATGGCTGTTCGCAAGCGCGCGCGAGTTTTCTATCTTGATTAGACTTTTCTATCTTGAAAAAGAAGCACGTTGGTTCACCAGGACCAAATAACTCCATGAAGTCTACAGAACTTTTGGTATAAATCCCTTGAAATCCTTTGGTTTAGGTAGAAATGTCAGGGATTATTCGCAAGAGTGAATTGTCCATCGTCGGTACGTTAACGGAGCAATGTTTTAGAACATTTGAGGTTCTGGGGATGCAGCGGTATTAACAATCTACGAGAACATCACTTTTGTGCATTGGAGTAAAACCTCTTAATGAGGAAAATGGAACTCGGTAAATCATGAAAAATATCTTTAAAAAAGCAAACATTTAGTAAACTAAAGCTTTTCGTCTGACACTCTTCAGAGTTTAAAACGTCAGAACATAGATCGAAAACTCTACGCTAAGAAATATATATACCCAGTTGTGGATCGAAATAGGCCAATCAGAAACACGAGCACATGACTGTAAAGGTTTATTAGCATTATGGGTTTATTAGCAGAGCGCCCTAATTCTTGTCTCAACAATTTGCATCAAAATGACGTGTTGGCAAGGAGTACGCCAGGGCGTCCTAGGCTAGATGTTTCCTATAAAGTTACAATATCTTATTTTTGCATATTATGGTTACTTTATATTTTCATGTTATCTTAAGAGCATTTGAGCTTTTGCATAAGAGGTACGACGAAAGGTAATTACGACATCTAATTTCCAAAAAAAATTATCGTCGAGAATATTATTTCACAAACTAAGAAATGAAGGACCATTGTTCTTAATTACGAAGACATTGAAACGTCAACGCCAAAACGCCGGAAAAATTTGCTTATTTAACACCACAAAAACAATGATGCCGACAATGAGATTCCAAGGTATCGAAAGACACGAAAAGAAGGGCGAAGAAATTTCACTCAACATTATAAAACTCGTCTTTTTTCACTCAACATAATAAAATTCATCTTTATTAAGCAACAAAAATAAGCTAGAAATATTAAAATGCTATCTTTTAATCGAAAAAAAAACGAAGAGAATCACAACTATTCACGTAATCTACCAACAATTTGCAAGTTAACGGACATTATATGCCTGTAAATATAGGTAACATAATATGTTTATGACACATGCATAAAACATGATCTAAACAAGCAACTCTTTAAAAACCTTTTCAAACACGTTCATAAAGTGGTCAACATCTTCTTGTTTTATGACCATTGGTGGCTTTATCTTCAAAACATTTTCATCTGGTCCATCAGCACTGATTAAAACACCATTTTCCCTCATCCTTTAATGAAAACAGAACAATATTTCATCATTAGAAGACCATTTGTTTTCCCAAATTCTCTCTAAAACGCAAACCTACGGATGGAGTTTTTAATTTCCTAGGCAAAATGACAAAGGTCACTCAGACTCCTGCAATGCAATGTCACTCAGACTCCTGTACTTAAAAACAAGATTTCCTGCATTGTAATGTGTTTTCGAAAGCGATAAGTATAAAAATATAAAAGTATGTGAAAATTTGTGAAAACATATTACAAGATACACCACTTGCAAGATAACACACTACAATACGAAGGACGATACCTGGAGAAAGGATATGATTTTGAAGAAAACCTTTTTTAGTTTTCAACAAAGTACAGCAAGATGAAGACTAAAAACGAGCTCACTTGTAGACAATTTTCTTCGCTTCCTCGGCTGCAGGTTCGCGATCTACTCTGTCTTTGACCAACTCAATTCCAATAAAGAGACCAACTCCCCTAAAAAATTTATTGAATATGAAAGTTTGATGGTGTAAGAAAATAAACAAAGACGACAGAGGCCGGGGATCAAAGAATTTGATCTATATCTAAGACGACAATATAATCGCAGGAGAGTCTCCGAGATGTTAGTAGTACGGACATCTCACCTCACATCTCCAATTACTGGATACAGGTCTTTGAGCTCATTTAGCCTCTGAATCCAATAATCTCCTAGATTCTTTGCATGTTGCTGTAAATCTTCATCCTCGATGACATCCAATACTGCATTTGCAATGGAACAAGACACAGGATTTCCTCCAAACTACAAATGATAAGATCTCAGTTCGAAAATTTAATCTATTCTTTACTGAACAGGTATGACTGATTCATTCACCTACTTTTTCATATGAAAAGCAGCAGGAAACGTGCGTTTCCACTCGTCAATGTATTTTTCGCCGTTTAATTTTTACAATAAGTTAAGCTTAGTAAGCCTTTATGATTAGGATGGCACAAATTAGCTGAAAAATGCTGCAAAAAAGCTAAAGCGACTTTGCCAATAACATTCATATTTGACTTTTGCGTTTCGAAAAACGAAAGTCTATTATTTTTCTGCTTCTTTCTTCGCATACCAATTACAGCATTGTGTCTTCTCTTCGATTCGATTATATATGATGACAGGACAGCTTTCATGTATTTTCAACCACGAGACCCTTAGAGAATCATCAAAACTCATTCAGCATTACTTTTGAGTATTTCAAGGCGAATATTGTTTAACATTTATAAAGGTTATAAAAGGCAGTACAACCAACGGAAGTTTCCCCCTCCTTGTTGCCTTTAAAGCTGACCATCCTCTTTTTTAACATAGAACATTAGTAGAAATTTCGTTTGAAGGATAGAAATTACTATAGTAACTAAAAGGAATTCGTTCTATTCGACTGAACTATCCTCTGGTCCTGTGCCCCGATTCTTTACTTAAAAACTTACTGAAACTTACAGTATTGAAGTAAGCGACATTAGTTTTTTCGAAGGCATCGGCAATTTCTTGAGTAGTTACGACGGCTGACACCGGGTGGCCATTACCCATTGGCTTCCCAATTGTAACAATATCAGGTTCAACACCTATAAAGGATAGGTTCCAGCTGAGTAACCAGACCTGGAGAGTTAGCTGCCATATGCAGAGAGAATCATTGAAGCCATGCTAATAGTGAGTGATGTCAATCAAAATACTTAACAATAAATACCACAGATGTTACAAGTACCATGAAGTCACAGAGTACAATACGATAGTAAAAGAACCCAAACACGGAAATAGATTTACGAAATGCAACCTGCGCAAATGATAAATCGAAGACAAGGAACCATACTTATAGATACCTAGAAAATGAAATGTGATCTGGGCTAGTAATAAATGAATAAACAAGTAAAAATATTTATAAAATCACAAAAAAAATTTTAAATTAAACTCATAGATATATTTTAAGTTCTGATTCGAGAGGCCAAGAAATAAATCAACAGTGGCCGGTGAATATCCTAAACGCTAATCCTTCGTGGGAAGACAAGCACAGTTACTTTCATTATATGAAATCGACATATAAAAAAATTACCATGAATTTGAAAACCCCAAAAGGCTTTTCCAACTCTGCCAAAACCAACTTGCACCTCGTCAGATATGCAGACACCGCCGTGTTTTCTCGTTTGTCTACAATGATTGGCTTCAAGATTGTATTTAAAAAAGCTACAAGGCTGTACTGGAGAAGAATAAATAAATATACAATAACATAGCTACAAAAAATACTAAATTACAAATGATGTATTACTTATCACCTTAGAAAGGTTGTTTGGGCTTATTCCAGTGAAATTTTAACCTTGAAAACTTATGCGAAAACATTGTTTACCTTTGGAGAACATTTTATATTTCATTGACAGGGACAACTGAAGTAGCAGAAAAAACTGCTACAAATTCTAGAGGTAAATCCCAGCAAAAAAATGTCTGAAATACTTACTTGAAAGCACTGGCCAAGAAACCTGAAGGGTAGATGATCTGCCCGCCGCAACTCTGTAATGATTCTGCGTAAAATGCGGCGATCTGCAGAGAAGAAGCGTTTCTTTGTTACAATGGCAAACTGAAACATTATTAAATAGGGCGTAGCGTATTTTCGTTAAAATTACCCATGGAAAGGAGCACTTTAACTGACAAAAATACAGAGAATGCATTTACTATATTTCGTGTCTGTGACCAATCTCTAGCTCTATTCGACATATAGTAGTTTGATCCTAATTTTTCCAGGAAATTCGCAATATTTTGAGTTTGTACGATAGCCAAAGCAATGAAAGGCAAATATTGGCAATAATCTATCATAACTAAAGCATATCCAACTTTTTACATTTAAATACAATTTTTCTACTTCTCTGTAAAAGTTTTACGGATTTCACTCAAAAACTAAGACGTTATGTAACTTGTATTAAAAGCAGCACACGTCTGGAAATGAAATGCTTAATTGAGATACGGCTACATACCCCTCTCCCGTCTTGTTCTGCATCATTAACTATCTTTGCAAATTCGTTGACATATAAACTGGACAAGTGCGCCTCATCGTTCCCACGATGCAACCCCCTGTAGGTGTCTGGACAGGGGCATACATGCACAAACTCTTGTTTAGAATGCAGCTTCTTGAACTTGTACGGGCTTATATCAATCATTGCAGTAGAATGCCCATGATAAGCTCTGTATGTTACAAAGGTATTTTACATTCATCCTTGTGTTTAACTTGATTCAATTACTTTATTGTACACAAAACATTGTACCATTGATATCGGTTAACTAAGAATTGGTTAACTAAGAAAACAGCCAAGTTCAATAAAATTGCATTGCTGACGACGAGCATAAAAAAGAGGGGCTCGCCACGCCAAATATGGGTGAAGCAAGAAAATTTTACGTGCCAGGCTATTCAGGTTGGTATGAAATGCGACCACACTCTCTAAAAACATAAGAAACAAGCAACTAACCTAGCCTGAAACTGAACAAAATTACATAAATTATGCAAGGAAAAGTTTACAGTTTAAATTCTTATGCAAATTGTTTACGACTGAAACTAAATTCAATCCATTTGCTCTTTTGCTCAGAGCGACTACACAGTCGAGCGTCTGTCATACCATTTTGTACGTGACAATAGTGCATAAAACAGATTTTCTAACAACTGATAACAGGCAAATTTCAATTTGATTACTAAAGAACTTTATCATAAATGAAATGGGTATTAATAAAATTACAAAATTATTATGTCAAAAATGTGTGTGTGTGACAAAATCACAATATGTTCTACTGAATTTATTGATTGGCCAAAAAAGGACTCATTCATGTCCAGAATTAAAACGTTTCACGCATTCTATTCATGCCTTTGGAAGGACTTCAGCAAATTTTGGAAAGGTTTGGATTTCATGTTTTCCAACAACCACTCTTTTTGCTTCTGAAAGGCACTAACCTGTCAAGCACAATTACATCATTGTGCTTAGTGTATGTTCTTGCCAAACGAAGTGCCAAATCATTTGCCTCAGTCCTGCATGAATAAAGAATAGAGTAAGTTTGTTTCTATAAAAAATACCATTCAGATAAAACATACATAACTTGACAAAACACAGTGTTCAGGCATCCATACAACAACACACATTTGCAAATACAATTTACAATATTCATCACAGTACACATAAGCAAAATAGAGCAGAAGTCTGAAAACTTAATTTATTAAATATTGGCTGATGGTAGACTTCATAGCAATGCTGTTTTGAAAGAATCGGTTTTGTAAAAATTGTCTGTCCGGTAAGCTGTGAATTTCTATTGAAACTTGATGTTACAAGATCAGAGAAGCAAACATATTGCAAAAATGTTGTAAACAGATATGATAAATAACTGGGAATTGCAAAGGATATTTTCTTAGATAGAAAGCATGACTTGTATTGATAGACCATTGTATACCACAAGAAAATATCAGGTGGAGACAGCTTCAAAGACGTTTTACATTAGATGAAAAGCAAAATTGGTTATTGGCAACACTATTGTGAAAAGAAGTAGTGCAATCAAACAGTGGAAATTATTAGCAAAAAGAATATAAAAAAGAATAGAAAAAGAGAGGGGTAATAGCTATGTTGGCACAACATTTATAACAGTGATAACTTCAAAAATGACCATGGCCCGCAATAGCCTGGAAGATGCATTGGTACCTACATTTTACACACCAAAATACAGCCTAGTACAAACACATTTAACATGGTAACACTACAAGTATATGATTGTCAATGTTACTAGGGATTCAAAGATAATACTATGCGTTGACAAAGATGAAATTGTGGGTATACACTTAAGTTCAAAAAGAATTGGGACAAACTTCGAAATTTCGAAGACATTTCATGCAACAAATTTGGAAAGACATTTTTATCTTTTTCATTAAAAAAGTACAGCAGCCATTTCCATAAAATTTTTGCAAGACATTGTTAATGTTTTGATGCCTTTCATGTATGCCAAAAAATCAAAAAAACGTCAACCATAAAATTTCTATAGGCTTTCAGACGTGAGCATTGGGGTTTGTAAAAATCAACAACCATGTTAACGAGAAGCACTTGCAGATCGCCTCCAGCAAAAATAGCATGGATGAATTTCGTAAAGTTTCATCATTTGTTTGCTGCTCAATAAGTGAAGCTTTGGTGGCCTGTGTAAAAAGTTTTCCTTACAAGAAGAGTAAACAATTTACCAAGGGTTGGCAGACTGAAAAAGTAACACCGAGAGAAATTTTTGAAAAAACTGCAAAGTAAAAAATTTGAAACCTTTCTAGACATTATATCACTGTTTAAAAAGAACTAAATTTAGGAACATGAGCAAAAAAGAGGCTATAGATATCATAAGAAATAAGAGTTTTCCAGCTTTATAAGAAAAAAATGCTCTCTCAATGCAAACATTAATTGTTGCTGACAAGCACTGTGGCTTTCCCTTTAGTGTTATGCATTTTGAAAAGTAGATTGAGTAAATTCGATAATATTATGAAAATGTAACAATTTTGTTGATTCAGTAAATTTTATTTGAGTCTTATTAGTTTCATTTTCTAATTTTCTTTTAAAATTTCTTTGCTATGCAAAAGTGAATCAATAAAATTAAATTCACTAGGACATCTCTAAAATTGTCAAGGTTGTGCAAGATTAACATTTTTAGGCACATAACTCTTTTGCAGATTTTGCGATTATTTATAGGAAAATTGTAAGAATCAAATGCTTTTATAGTTATGATTTGAAGTTGAAGTGTTTTCTTTCAGCTTTCAACCACATTTTTGGGATACACAGGCCTAAATAATTTGAAAAAAGACAGCTCATATCTGAACAAACCCTAATATAGTAGCGCAATATCATAGTTCTTTTATCAAATTTGTCCCAATACTTTGAACTTAACTGTAATAAAAGGTGACAAAGTTCACTTCAGGTAAGTATTAAAATACAAGTTTAATGTGGTTGGCTCTAAAATTTTTGTTGCTTCTTAAAAAACTGGAGTCATAGAACAGTTCTTCAAATTCGAAACTTTCTTTTTTTCTTAAAGCAAACAGTGCAAATATCTTCAAATTTGCTCAATTCTGTTAAGGTTTATTCCCACCAAAATATAAAAATGCTGAATTTAATGTTTCAGTTAAAAAGAAGACAACTATGTCTTCCTTTTTGAACATTTATTAGTGCTCAGCTTGAATCTATTGATATCAGTTTCAATATGTATTATTTAGGTCTAAGATCTAAAGCTAGAAATTAGCTCAGCTGCTATACCTTGAAATTCTGCAAATTTTTCCATCTGCAAAAGTTTCTTCCTACAAATCCTTTCCATAACATCTGGCATATCAGGTAAATTTACTTGAATTTTTCTAATTGCATCTTTCCCTACTTGCTTCTCATTAAGTAAATCCCTACAGTTTCTATAATTTCCACCTTTGGCATAAATAATGAGATTTGCGCACTGCTCATAAATTGCACAGAAATAAAAAACTCTTAATAAATAAATCTGTAAGCTTCCAAACTTTTATTAAAACACAGATGAGAATTCAGTCGGATAATATGAAGATCTTTGCTGCCCCCTGTGTATATTTCATCTACTAATAAGCAACTTGTTACCCTGTGCACACAAGAAAGCAAACAGACAGCTTCTTTGGTAGAAGGGATGTTAGCCTTTTGGCATAGATCAGCAATTCATCATGGACAAATCTGCTATTTGTCTCAAGTTTTTCCATTTGGTATTGTCCAGCCTTAACAACATGTGGATGACAGTGCCCCACTACAAGAAATTTTCATGGTGAGCACAATTTATTTACAAAACAAACAAATCCTATAGGTAACAATATATATCTATATATTATTACCAACATTTAATGATATAAATAATATACTTTTTAAAATTTATTCTAGAGTGTTCTGGAGGTTCATTTATCATAATCATTTACAAGGATATATGTATGTGTAAAAACTGGAAGGTTTTCTACATTGCATCCTAGAGTCATTCTTGAAACTGTTATTACTTCTATGTGTATTCAATTTTTTTATCATTATTTGCATTTTATTTTCTAACATGACACTTTATATACTTAACCAATTATATAAACCTACCATGAGCTACATTGTTCATGCAGTCTAAGTACTTCCTTCCTTCTTCATCATACATATACTGGCCACAAGCATATGTAATTTTCAGTGGGTTCTCTGGGTAGTGAAGTTGAGTGGCACGTCTTAAAGTGAAAAAAACATAACTTATGTAATAGAAATCTGCTTACACGAAAAAATACTTAAAAAAATAATGATATTCTTTTTTGATATTATGATACTATTTATATTATGATATGTAATGGTATTACTTTTTTGTTTTTTATTCCAATGAAAAGTTCTTCAAAGAATAATCTTATCACCTCGTTCTTCTATTACTATAATATTCTTGTCAAGAAAGAACCAACTCTCTATAACCTATTTATATGGTGGATGCCCCATCAATTCAACTCTGGGTGGGTGGTAAGGGATCTTCCAGACAATTTTCATAAGCTTTGGAAACCTTCTGAAGAAAAAATAAGGCAGAGCTCGAGAATGGCACTTCAATTCATGTTCTATTGGCCTTCCTCAAAGTCATTGACCATACAACTGCCACGTTTTCTGTGCTACGTGAATAAGGAACTTACAACAACATCTTTAACATAATAAAGCTACCTAGCAAGTTGTGGCTATACTTTTTGCAATACTTTCTTAAGAATATTTATATTCACTCCCGTCTGTTGCTCCACTTGCATACCAAAGCACAGAAAAGAGTTCACATTTGTGCACATCTGCATTCCATTGTCTGAATATTCTTCAAGCCAGGATTAAAATCAAACTAGCTTGCATTAATTTACGTTGACAAGAATATTCAAACAAAAGGATGATGATGCAAATGGATTATTCTTTGAAAAGTTCTTTATCAAAATACAATGAAGAATATTCAAAGAAAACATTTTTGTGCTTAAAATAGTATTATTCTTGTTGAATATTCTTTCATGTAAGAAGGCCTTAAGGCAAATGGCTATATTAATATTTCTTGTTAAGATGAAAAAAATTTTCCACAAACGTGCACATCTCTCTTGATTAATTCATTCTAGGGGCCATCTTATTTGGTCATTCAGTTACAAATATATGTGCATATTTTCAGAAAACTTTGTTTTATTCAGAGGTAAATTCCATATCTGATGTCCCAAGGCCCTTAGACTATAAAGCTTGGTTTCCAACATGAGATAATTGTGAGTTAAATTGAAAATTAACTCATGGTCTAAATTCAAGTTAACTTGAGATGTGAAATAGCATGAGATAATGTGAGCTAACTGAAAAATAAGCCATGTACCAATTGGGCTTCCACTTGAGATAGATTTAATTATGGGAATTTTTTTTAATGATTTCATTTCAATCTCATCCATCTAAACTTACAAACAAATTTCCTAAAATTATTTAAATCTAAAAACTTATCTAAATTAAATCTAAAAATCTGAATTAAATAAATCTAAAATTAATTAAGTGCCTACATTCAGTTCAGTATAAAAGTTCTTTAAATTAATCTACCAACAAACAAAAATATATATATTTAAACAATAATTTGAAAACAGTCCTTGATCCTCTCAAGCACAGCAAACTAGATTTTATTAAGCTAAAGGATACTTGAGTCCTAATGTCACTGATCACTTCGGAATATTTCTTGTTCAATTTTGCTGATAGAGTTTCAAAAAAGTTTCTTGTGGAAAATTTGTTATTCTTTACACATACATACAGCCATTGGTCCCAAAAACTATTGGTGTAAACTTTCCATGCTCTACCACTATGATGCGTTCATTTAAAGCTCTTTTTCTCGTTTTCTGCATTTTTTAGAATTCTTTTAATTATGGAAATGCCAGATATGAAACTTATGCTTCCTCATTATTAGAGTCCTAGGCAAGATGTTGATTTTGATCCTTATAAGTACTGCCGCTAAATAGCATATGCAGCCACTTTGCAAATTTAGTTTCTTTTAATAATGATATTTATACTTGTAAATAATGTTGTTGGTCATCATAAATTTGAAGTTGAATAAATTACCAATACAATAAATTCTCACCCTATCAATTTTCCTCGTAGGAGAACAGACTCGTCTTTTGAATAATGTTGCTTCTCCATTTTGCGTTTCACACCATTCGCCTTTGCAGAACCATTATGGGTATCGAGTTCTTCGCCAGGACTAATTCTAGGATTTTTCGCTTTGCTAGCCATGATTATATAACTTGAACCACTCTGAAAGTACACGATCACAGAAGTCACGAACATCTGATAGCAGCCTCTTTCATGTGATCCCGTGACTCGTGACTGTCACAAGGCCACGAACGCACTTTGCACAAGGATAGGATAAAAGGAACTGCGGAAGGAAAGAATACAGTGGAACCCCGCCTTACAGCCAGGGACGTAAATTGGCAGATATTTGGGGGGGGGGGTTGAAGGGCTCAAAATTTCCGACTGACGAAGGTCAATTCCAATTTTGTATGAAGGCCTAAACTTTTATAGTTTCTTACCAACAAAACCTTATAAATTTACTAATAAATCTAGCGGTAACTTTTCAAGCCTCAAATTAGAACAAACTTCAAATCTTTATTCATAACAAATGCTGGTATAAAAATTTGGAATAACATACCAAGTAACATAAAAAGTGTTGCTTCCTTTTCATGTCTTTTTAAACAATTGTTACTTCAAGAATACACCTTAGAGTACAAGATGATCCTTAACCCCTTTTCCCCTTTCTTTTTTTACAATCGATTAAGTTTGCTCTTATCTTCTTAATGTTCATCTTTATTTTTATCCTTATCATAAAACTTTTTCTTAAATTCCAGCATTGAATGCATGTATATTAACTGTTCACTGTTACTGTTACTGTTCACTGTTTACTGGGGACATATGGCCCGAAAGCTCTATCAGAGCTCTTTCCATATCTCCTTTAGCAATATTCTGGTAAATTGATGTATTGTTATTCTTCACGTTTGTATAATTGTCTGATGTAGCTTAAAACATCAAAATTTTATTTTTAAACTGTATTTAGTTAATTATTGTTGAAAATATACATCAATTGAAGTGAATTGAAAATTGTCTCGTAAATAATTATTCAGCTGAATGATAAAGTTCTAAATTTCGCAAATTTGAAATATCGATCATAAAGACTGTTAGTTTGATTAGCGCATCAAAACATACGTAGTCCAAAAATTAGGTGTTGATTTTTCTCCTTCTATGACTTGCCCATTGCTCCACTATCTTATCTAAATTGACGTTGTCCAAAATGTCTTTCTCGCAAGTGAGAATCAAGGTCGTTTAGCCTATTACAGGGCAGCGCCAAGAAATTCAAAGCGGGGGGGGGGGGGCCCGAGTTGATAGAGTTATTAGACTAAAGAACCATCTCTTGAAAAACGCACTAAAACTCTTCACGATATTTTATGCCTATTATTTTATGGGGCACTCATTATGCTAGAGGCACGTTTGAAGGGCCGGCGGGAGGCTGGCAGAGGTCTTAGGTATATCCGAAAGAAGTGGCTTCCCTCCGAGCGAAGCGATCAGAAAATTTTCACGACCACGCTTTTTAGATTAGCTTAAAATACATTTCATAATATTTCTTGCAGGTATTTTCTTGCAATCATTTAAAGCATTTTGTTATTTTTAAGGCATGCTTATATTACGTTTGATTAATTCCAGTCTTAAAATTGAGTTCATTACTTTATGAGGCCCCATAGACCTCGGCGTATTCCTTGGAAATTAAACAACTAAATGATTTGTCGGATTAATCTTTTGTATATACTTTTTCCTTAACTCTTTTTTATTTGCTTAAAAACACATTTTTGCAAAAAAGTGGAGGGGGGACTGAAGCCCCCAACTTTCCACCTGGCGCCACCTATGTTTCATCGATCGATCTCCGATCTCGAACGGAGAAAGTTCTTGACAAGTCAAGGGAAATGCACTGTGCTTCTTTAAGCATTACTGTTAAATATTATTACAAAAAATCCATTTCGTATCCCGTTTTTAGAGGCAATTTGATGGAATGATTATCACACTATCCCCATTACGACGAATGTAGTTGAAAATACAAAACTTCGTTTTTTCGGTATTGCGTTCCTCTAATTCTTTTCAGGACTGCCCTTTACAAACAACTATTTTCTTTTGAACTTACACCTTTCTTATGCTTCTCTTTGAGCTACAGTTCACAAGGTCATTTGATTCAAAACTTCAATTTTCAAAAATGATCCAATTTTTTCTGATTAACCTAGCTTTGTACCAAAAGCTTTAAATTTTCCGACTGGATGAAAGATGGGGGGTGTCACACAACCCCCCCCCCCCCCCCACACACACACACACAACCACTGGTATTTACGTGCCTGCTTACGGCCACTTTGTTAATACGGCAACCTCGTTATTACAGCCACATTTGTTTGGCCAGGAAAAACGGCCATAAATAGTCCTAAACAGAAGGATTCTTTATAATTCCACCCCGTTAATACGGCCATTTGTATTGAGCAAAATTGTAATAAGATTACAATAATCTCATTCATTTTACAAAAGAACTTTTCATTATCAAAGTCACTTGCTTTCAGGTATGATTGCCCAGATTTAAAGTGGTTGGTTGGAACGCAGAACGAGCCAGTTTAAAGTCACCGATTTTAGCAAAATCATGAACATAATTTAGTGATTAAGGCCCAAGTACCCAGGACTTCCGTTTCTTTTTTTTTGTGGACTAGTTATTTACCATATTTTTTCATAACTTTATTTTTTTATTTCCATATGTCTATTAAAGAGAACAGTTCCTTAGAATGTTATAATTAATCTCTAGCCCTTAATTAAACTCCAAAATTTGACACTTCCTGGTTAATACGGCAAATTTTTGGTGGCCCGTTGGTGGCCGTATTAACGGGGTCCCGCTGTATGTGAAGGAGCTGCGAGGACGAAGGAGGAAGAGCAGCTTCACCATTTCTCAATCCCTATCTTCCTTCCCAATAGCCTCTGTCGAGGTGAGTAACGCATATGGGTATACCGTATTTGAAGACCTCCGACAAATGGGTATGGGTATATCGTATTTCAAGGCCATGCACCCCCCCCCCACTTCTCCGCAAAACAATAGAGCCATTTTCAAAATCTTTGGCTATGGGTATTGAATTTTCCCTTGCCGCCACCCCCACGCCCACTTTCCAATCTGTTATCATTAATCCAATTAAAGGATTAAAGACGAACGCATTTGAACGCACATAGGCCCTGTCCACACGAGTACATTTTCAAATGAAAACGGAAAATCTGTGAATTAAAACGCAACTTTTTGAAAACGCATCGTTGCCGTATAGACGGCCGAAAACGCAAGTTTTTGAAAACAATTCAACACTAACAACTTTCTTCGGCGTGTAAATCAAGCAAAACGTTTGCGAGTCCTAATGTGAAAACAAACTCGTTCTGTTTACACGATAGCGGTTTTTTCATGTTTATGTAGATAGATTCCAAAACTGGTAGATGGAACGACGATCGGGCTTTACCAATAATCTGAAACCTGTCGCCATTTAAGTTTTTTGCAATTTCTGGGTATTCCAGAAAGTGTTCATTTTGTATCAAACGCCTCCTTCCGTTAAACACAACCCTCTAATGAAATGTGAATTTGGTAATAAACGCTCTAGAGAAAATACGGTGTGCTTTTCGCCAGATACAGTGCGGTGACAGATTTATCTATTTCAATGTTGCCATTAGTTAGGCAAGGACATGAAAAAAGAAGGAAAGGTAGTAAAGATAGAGTTCTAGAAGAACGTTTTAGTGTATGAAGAATTGAGCCCACTTTGCAGTGGGTCCGGTAGCGTAGTGAGGGGGACAAGGGGAGAGGGCAGCCACCCAAATGCTCGGAAAGTTGATGTCTGAGAAAAATACAAATCTGCAATAAACTTAGAACATCAGAAGGAAGGGGGGGGGAGTTGATATTTCAAACAAAATTAAATCGTTTTCAAAGACTACAAGCAAATGAATTTAAGAAATATTCTGAAATGTATTACAGGCTAATGTTGAGGGCGTGGTCGCAAAACTTTTCTGCTCGCTTAGCTGGCAGGGGTCCCTCGTCTTTGTCTCTATAGAATGCCTTACAATTTCCCCTCGTTTAAGTGTTTAAATAGAAGAGGCCTTCGTGTTTTTCTAGATATTCCCGTTAAAATAGAAACTAAAATGCTAATGCGCTTCAAAAAAACTGGATTCTGAAATAATTGTCAAGGATCTTGCAGATTTTGCTCCTAGGAGATCGGACTTAGTTTGAAACTTTCGAATACTGTTTATAATTTTTAGATTTTGGCTTATAACTTGGGAAAATCAGTTCTAACACTTTTTTTTTTAAAGAAATTTTAGAGGAAACAGACAGTTGTAGAATGGGGTCAGCATCAAAAAGCTACGCATGACAGGTTTTGTGTTTAATCAGCCAAACATTGCCACGCGAAGAAAGTCATAGCTTTTCCAAACACATTTACTAAATGGGGAGTTTTCCCAAATTCTAAATGGTGTTGGCAGCAAGAATTTTCCCTTTGCCCCTACAAACTTCGAACCCTGGCTACGCCATTACAACATTATTTCAATAAACTATAGGAATACAATACTATTTTAGATGCATTTTCGAGCCATCCATGAATTATTTTTAGCCCCATCTCCCCCACACCCCCCAAGAAAGTTATCCCTAGCCGCGGGCCGGTATATCCGTCCTGTATTGCACATTGAGCGAATTTCTCCATCATCCAGCCAGCACCATGTCCTTCAATGTTATATTAGCCTCCCTCTTTCCCTTCCAGCATCCATCTTTCGAAGACTCATTCCATGAAAATAGGCACACTGAATAAATTTTGTGAATGTTGAATCTAACACGAAATAATAGGCCAGCCTATCTTATCTCTAATTTAGTCTGTTGAGTATGAGACCTGAATTTTATTTTGAGCAGCTTTTTTAACACAATGTACGTAAAATTTGAAGCTCAGTGGCCCCTGCAGAAAATCTACAAGTTTTTTGTTTAAGCTGCAGCGTAATACTACCTACACAAGCAAACAGTAGCGTTTTGCTTCTTAAATATCAGTCTTTAATATCATTAGACAACATAGAAAATAAATTTGAAAAAAATCATCTCAACAAAGGTTTGAGTGAGTATGAAAGTGATCAAATACATTAAAAAAATTGCAATTGCATTTTGAACATTTGTAAACTTGGTATGCGTAGTTCGCAGTGCCGTATGAACGATATTGTTTATCAGCCGAAAAAGAGACAGAGCCAGATTATAGAAGAAATAGATAAATATGGCTACCAAAGTCAGTTAATTATATCCAAAAACGAAACAAACAAAAACGGACAGAAGAATAGCTACAGGATGGCCAAGATTTGAGCAAAATGTTGATTCAAGAGAGTAATGGATGAGACCATACTAGTCGCAATAACATATGGTGTTAAAACATAGGCACTGGCGTAAATTGGTAGTGGCTCAGAGAAGCATGAAAAGAGCAATGCTTAACAACACATGACTAAGCAAATGGATAAGTGGAAGTTTAGGATCACACACCCAAGGTATTGATGTTGTAGAAAGCTTAGATGAAGTGGACAAAGAAGATCACGTTGTAGGAAACAAGAAAGCGAACAAAGAAATTCACTGAGTGGATATCAACTTCAATAAAGTGTATGCGAAAGGCATAAGAAGGGATGAAAAGATGATCTCCAGAACAGCACATATGTTACTAGGATTAGATGGATGAAGTTTAAGCAGTAAAATGTTCAATGCAGAGATGTCTTAAAAGGAATAAAACATAATGAAACTGTTAACTTTTACGTTATCCTTTCTACAAATTCACGACTACGCCATTGAAAACTACACGGGGAAAGACTAATTTAAAATCAAAGGCAAAGACGGAACCATTTGGACTTGATCGATTTTCTAAGATGTAGGGGTTATGTTAGGGGGAGGTTCACAGTTTTGCACAGTATTTCAAACATTCGTGATTCAACTCGATAACTTTTGAACAGACAGTCCTAATGGGGGGCTAAGAATCAGGTTAAGTGTCATAGGAGAACCCATTGGTTAGGTCCGACGCGAAAAAAAATTTGGAGTTAAGCCTTCTAAAATGGTTAAAAATGCATCTCATAGACTAAATTTCAACAAATTACTATACCGCTCAGAATAGAAAATTTGATGAAACAAATAAGAAGCTGTCCTATTTATTGTATTGATAGAATTTTACTTCCTGCACAAAAATGTGCATCTTCTTTGTCTCGAATATTTTCAGCAGGCCATGTTTACTCATCCAAAATGCAGACCATTGCAATGATACAGAAAATTATCTTTTGAATGGATGTAAATAGTAGACGAATAATAGAAATTTACCTAAATAACATAGTAAGTAGATCAAATAAAATCAAGCAGTATATAAACAGTTTATATTTCATACTCTGTTTTCAAAAATTATAAGAACAACTGTCAAAAAAATTAAATCTCTGAAAAATTGGGGACTTCAGCCCACTCAGCCCCCTAGTGGTGCCGTGCTTGCAGTGAGCAGTGTTTTTTTTTACTTCTTAATGGCTGCGTGCGGCAAATACATTACCGAAGTTAAATTGCTCCTTCGCAGCTTGACGTCAAAGGCAAAGTTTTGGCGCGAAATTTTGGTGTAGAGAAGACTGGATCGAGTTTTCAGTGGTTGCTTTTCGGGTGGACAGAACAAGCAAGTAAAACGATAACAAAACGCCAAAAAGAAGTGGCACTGGTGGAGGTTGGATAGAGAATTCGACAGAAAACAGAACTTTCAAACTCAGTTTCAGGTCAGTTATCGTTCTCATTCCTACAGCCGCTATTATACAACAATGGAATTTTTATTCCACCGGCCCCCTTATCAATAAAAACTTTTATGAAATTTTTCAAAATAAAGAGCAAGGACCATATCTGCATTCCAATTAATGGTTAATGCGTGTTATAAGAAGGACTTGGTCAACAATTTCAAACACCGCCAACACCGCACCGGGCAAAAAGTTTAGAATTGAAAATTAAGTCGTCTTATTTTGCTTGAGGACAGGACTGCTAATTCTGTGAACTGATGAATTAGGTGTGTAAACAAATAATAGCAAGGGGGTTCTTTTCCGGTAAAATTCCTAGACTGAATAATTTGTGCATGAGTCCAAATATAAGGACTGACACAAGAATTGGCAGCGTTTTTTTTGTTTGGCGTAGACTTGCATATAAAATTTGCCACTGATAAAATCTTTTAGGCTATCGGATAGGGATATATATTTCCAAAGATCAGATATTTGGTTTTACTAAATCTTTTAATAAAGATGTAATACTTAATAGTTGTCTAATGGGCATATATTTTCTGACCTCACCCTGATTGGGTATGTTTTGGGAATATTAGCAAGCATGTATAAAAAATCGAAAAGAAAATAAATGATCAAGCACTGGCAAACACATCTAAAACATCCTTGCATGACAAGGTTTCATTGAATCACATTTTCAAGTCACTGATCAAGTGCAAGCAAGCATTAGCACATTAGGTGCATGCAAGCATTAGCGCTTTCGCATGTGTCAAAATAAAGGGAATATTTACAGCACTGACAAAGTGCAATATTTTGGCCGAAAATCTTATTTATGATGTATCAATGTTGTTCTAGAGTATTATTGGTTAAAGATATTTGATAATTGGAAATTTTTATATTTTGTATCATTCACTTCTCTGTGTGGCAAAACAAATAAAATACTATGCCATTTATGTAAGTATTCTTATTCCTCGTACATGATATGTGCTTAAAGTTGCTATGTTAACAGCTAAGATATGAAGAAAATTATTCGTTCATTGATTGAGTAATTGCATGGAAAATGTTTTCTTAACTTTGTTATATGACGTATACATATGATTTTGCGTTTTTTTGCCTAAGCTTAGCCCCAACCTCCCAATTTTTTGCAGTAATTATTAGCTATGTAAATGTCACATTTCCAGGCGCAAACTCAAATTAGGTGATGTGACCGTTATTACAACTGTTTATTTTATACAACAAACATGAGGTGATTAAATAAACATCAACAATAACACAAATATTGAAAAAATCATGTGTATAAGGCAAGAATATTCTTATTTAAGGAGCTAACAGGATGTAGGTGGGTAGTAGGCTAAAATGCATGGCATGTGGCCAAGATAGAGCCAGTACATATAATTCGCATACCTTATTGACAAAACCTATTAGACTTTGATATGAAATTGGAGTGATTTAAACCAAACTGGAATAGTTAAAAAAGAGGAAATGACGTTTTGTGGAATAATAAACAAACCTCACAATGTTAAAATAGAATGGATCTTCCACTTTAAGGTCTTATGCTGTAACACAAGCTCACAGACAGGGCGAGGTTAAAATATTTACAAGAGAACATTTGTCTTGGTATGTCATTTCCTTCTGTATACAGCTGACTATCTGCAGACAATTGATCTTGACCAAGATCAGATAAGGAAACAAAGATAATTTTCACAGAATCTCTGTTTCTTAATCAGATATCCTTGTCTAGCAATACTCAACAACTTTCCCACAATTTCTTTTTTCTTGGCTAGTAATAATATTCTGTGTATATTTAAGTTAAGGTAATTGCTTCTTGTCAAAGCAAACATTTTGCTAGTGTCAGAGATAAATGTGATGAATAAAGAAACAGAGTAAATAAAGATAGTTTGCATTATAGCCGCTTGAATAACAGCTTGAATTCAACTAATGAATTTTTTGTTTATTTCCATTTAAGCACTTTCAAGTTATACTCACAAGAAGAATTAAACTCTGAGATCTTAAAATTAGGTCTACAATAGAATTTTCATATACCTCTGTTGGGTATTGTTGGATAATGTAGGCCTTGTTTTTTTGGCAATTGGGTTTTGGAACCTATAACCTTTTTAAATGAGTCAATGAAAATGCCAGTTTGCTTTCAGCTTCTTCTAATCTGTTTTTGGTTGTTTTGGGGTTAATTACACCATTACACTGTGTAATGGTGTAATTAACCCAATTGTAATGAAGACAAGAGTTGAAGAAGTAAACAAACGTACTCTTGAAGAAAGTTAGCAAAGAACCAGTTAGTTGTTAAGTAGAGATAGCCAAGGGTAGGAAAGGTCCAAAAACTGTCTTTAAAGAACAAGCTAATTGCAGAGATCTAATTATTTAAGGGCAAGCTGCTGTAATGTTTCCAAATACAACAATTGCCTTGTCTTTACTACTCACCTTGCAAAGTTTGCCACTTCGAAAGGAATAAAAAATCTCACCCAGTGAAACAAGCTTATGTGTTGGGGTTATGTCTAACGGCTACTAATTTTGATCTTCTAAGAGAAATTGATGTCAAAAGACTCTTTGCTGCTGTCAAGACACAAAAGTCTGTTCAGAGAAATTCTTAATGCCGCACTGCCTGGGAAGATAAATTTTGTAAGCTTATTCTGACACTGATAATTTTGACTAAACAGAAAAGTTTAGTCTCCATCTAGAGAAAAGGGCTTTCTAACCAAATTCTCTAGATATTCTTCTGCACTATATAGATTTCAAGGATTAACTCCTTACCTCTTCAAAAATTTATCTGAAAGACAGAGTAATTTCCACTCTTATAATGATTACTTTTTGCTGAATAGCATGTAATCATTACCATGTAACACGTTTTTATAATAAATTATGCAAGTAACTAGCAAAGCCCAATATATTTTATAACAATGTTTTAAAGATTTGTCTCATTGAAGGAATACTTTTATTGCAGCTAGTATTGCAGCTAACTCTCCTTTAAAGCCAATGCGGGCTTGATATTTTTTCTCCTTTGCTTTATCTGTATGTCTTTTCCTCCTGTCTCATTTGATTTTTCAGCCTTTTTTTCATGAGATGACCTTCGCACAGACATTAGTCTGAAACGTTCCCATAGTTTTTCCAATCCTCTCTTAGATTTGTCTTCATTCTTTCTTAACTTTGTTTGTTCAAAATTTGACGAGGTATTTGGCTTAATTTCCTTAAGATTCGTTTTTGTCTTTTCAGTTAACTGTTTACTCTCAGTGTCATTTCTTTCCTGCGTTTTTCTTTTAAATCTAGGTATTCCAGAATGCTTCTTTGCATTAAACTTTTCCTCTTTTGTTGGCCTTTCTTCAAATATATGGCTCTTGGAATTTTGCCTTTCCTTACAATCTGTTCCGTCAATCTGTTTTGTATCAACTTTAGCTTCAGTTTCCTTTATTACAAGGTCGGTTTTAATTTTATACTTTTCTTCAGTCACTGTTTTCTGAATGTTTTTATGGTCTATTTTTACTGGTGCTCCAGCTTCAACATGAATTTCTAAGTGTTCATTATGCATTTCATTTCGAAATTTATTTATTTTCTGCTTCTTATCCATTGCTGTTTCTTGGAGTGGTTTCCTTGCCTGGTTTTGTTTGCTTATAATCGCAATTTGTGATTTTTTGTTTTTTGTGTTGTCAAAGGTACCGTGACTATTGTTCTGCTTGCTCCAATCCCGACCAACATAAGTGAGTTTTAAGGGTACTTCACTGTCATGGATAGCGTCGCTACTGAGACATCTCCTTAGACTGCGATTTGCGGCTTTTTCTTTGGTATATTGTGTCTCGTTTCTACTGTCTTCTATCTGCCATTTACTTCGAGGTATCTGTCCACCTGAGCACAGTGTATCATCTCCAGTTTGGATGAATGATTCAGCCTCTAAGGACTTTTGTATGCAATACGTTTGCACTGGTGGTCGCTCGCCCATAGCTTCAATGGTGCTCCTTAAGTCACTGGCATTCTCAGTGTCATCAAAGGTCTTGAAACCACTGCTGTTCCCTAAAGAGTCGTTATCTGACTCGTTCTTCAAGCTAAGCGTGTCTTCTTTGTATAAAGACCCGTAGCTAGCATGACTGTCTTCATCATCAACTTCACTAGTGTCCAAATTTTCTTCTCCCAACATCATCATTCCTTCAAGGTAGAACTTTACATCAGGATTTTGGGCCAAGTCATATGCAGTTTCACCATTGCTGTTAGTAAATGTTAAGTCAGCACAGTTGAGAACTAGAAAACGAACGATGTCTAAACTTCCGAAAAAAGCTGCGTAATGCAATGCTGTCCAGCCATATGAATCGGTAGACTCCAGAGACGCACCGTGATCAAGCAACAGCCGAATCATTTCTAAGTCATCTTTCAAGCAACACTCTTGTAATGCGGTTCTCCCATTCTTGTTTGGCTCACCTAAATGTATGTTTGTTCGCGCATAGCGCAGAAGAACTTTTACTTGTGTGATATCACCGTCTTCAACAGCTTTGTGGAATATATTTTGAATGTGGCGTACATTGTTGATTGAAGCACGTGGTGTGCTTAGCTTTCCTTTTTGTGATTTTCTCGGTTTTATTGTCAAGTAGCCATCACAGAATCGAGTATCTAATGGCATCGTTCTGCCTTTTTAATCTAATGATATTTATCTTTGTGAGCTGTTAAAACTTCTAGATGTCTCCGATGTAGCAGCGTATTCTTGGCAGGCCTGCTCTCAAATGTTGAAAATGCATCCGTACAAAGTTACTCTATGATATAACAAGTAACATTGATATTCATAAACGATTTTTGCTAATTATTCTTTTATTTGTCAGTCACTTCTCAAGAAATGTCCTTAACATTCGTGCGTTCTATGGTAAGAAACAGGCAATGTGCTTACCATTCCAGTCGATTATAGGCCATTGTTACTAGCCTTGAGTGAATACTCATTCATTGTGTTATTTTCCTACAAGGCCAATAGGCGTTCAGCAATGCACACTCTTTGCAGCAGGTCTTTAATTTGAACATAATTTATTCAGTGTGCCCTATTAAAAGGCCGCGCTATCATTAAGCTTGAATGTGTCACCCGCGATCATGTCTCATTTCTTGCTAACGATGAAAGTCTCAAAGTTGGTGCCGCATTCAGTACTTTTATATGCTGTTTTCAAAAAGGCTATCTTCAATTGGCTTTTTCAAACTGCAATAAACTTTGGGTTTTCGAAGTTTGTTCATATATAAAGAAATAGTATCGTGTAATTGTGCTGAACAGTCTTATTTTGGCTACTTTACTTTAGATGAACACGAAGTGCGTTGTCAATTTGGTCGGAAGCAAGTAAACATTAACTTTCCAATTTATAAAAAGACTTACCAGCTTCTGAACAATTACTTAAAGCACTCATAGTCAAAAATGTAAATGGACATATATATATTTCTGTGGTGGTACTTGTTGACCAAATTCGTGTTGAGTTTTTGTTAAAAACCTGAAAAAATGGTAATAGACACCCATGCAGTATGGGTATAAATTTACGCCAGATTATTTTTGTTATTCCAGATGTCATTTTCCTCAATGATATAAGTCTGACACTTAGACAATGTTTTCCTATTAGAGTACCAGTTGTTAGAGGGCTAGCTTTTTTAAATCAACTCGCCGTGCCTTTAAGAACTTTCTAGGTCTTGTGAAGCTTTTATCTGGCAATGCCATTGCTACGATTTTGTAGCTAAGGCACTATCCACACGGTGCCAGATTTTTATGAAAACGAACTAATTTCTATCTGTTTCCACGCCATAAGTGTTAAAAAAATTTCCCCGTCCACACTGAAACGCAAAACCAAATAAGAAGCTTGTAATTCGGCTATGAGCACGCGCAAATTGCTTGGCGATACTAATTTTCGACAGGTCAAAAATCACGAAAAATTGCAAAGCAAAGAAATCTGAAGAAAAAAGACTGCTGATTCGTAGATTAACAAACCACTTTTGGCTGCAAGTAAGTTATCAGATTTGAAAACAGAGATATCATAAGAGCAACTACTTAACTCGGCATCTTTGATGGAAATTGTTTGTGTGTTCCTTTTCAAAAATTTCCACTCTGAAGAGCGTCCGTCACCGTGTGGACCGGTAGCCACATCATCAAAAAAAAAGGATTGTAATATTTGCTTTGCAAATTCACAATGTTATTGGCGAAATAAAGATTAACAAAAATTTCATACCTTATGAATACCTTAACATTTATTTTCCCGTTTCTAGATCTCAAAAAGATGATTGGCATTAAAGAGGGAGTACAGTCGTCTATCGCTGTTCCTGTATTTTTATCACTACCAGAAGCTTAATAAACGACTTTTTCTTGGAGGGTTCTCCTTCGGCACGCACAAGAACTGGTGTTGTAGATGTGTTACTTTCTTTACAACATCCGGCTCTGGATTTTGTGAAATGACGTCTGTAATTAGCTTTTCATTATCAATTCGTCGTGCTTTATAGAACCTTCTGGATCTTGCTTTAGGTTTTTAACTTGAAGCTTTTATATGCCAATACGATTGCTATGACTACGTAGCCAATTCCTATTTCATGTTTCCCGAAGTAGATCAATTAAGGCTTATTACTGGCAAACTAGATTTTTTTAACAAAAAAATTAATTCCAGTTATATCACCTTATTTTGGTGGACGTCCAATCCTCAATCACCGTTGTTATTTATTATCAATATTATCAATGAAATGTTTTTACTATTTACCCTGGCCTATCATATCACTCTCTTGTTCCCGTATCAGTGGAACGAACAAACCTAATATGCTGCACCTCTGGAATATGTTTTCAAAGCAAATTTTGTATCGTGACTTTGTAAACAGAATTTGTGTCACACAGTGCGAACACTAATCAGTAAGTGCGAAGTTTGGTATGGCCATACGAACAGCCAGTATCTGATCTGATATGTGAAACCTATACGAATTCAACCCTGTATTTTCTGAACTGAACAGGGATGCAAAAATATGACAGGGCAATGGATGGCAGACTTTTACAGACAGCATTAAGAAGAAGGTGAGATAAGTTAGCCGAGAAAACTCCCATGAAAATATTTTGCTACTGCACCCTACAGTTTGACCTAAAGCAACATCAAATTACGTTTTGTCGCACTTAAATTTGGAAACTATCAAAAATTTTATAGAATTTTTCCCTACTTCGACTCTTTTCTTTTGAAAGTATTTTTCATGTAGAATGTCTAGTCGTAATGTCTAGTCATAATAAGAAAAATGTTAATCCTCCCGCGTATATTTCTGTGCATATCTTGTTTTATGCGCTAAGAACGAAGTGCACTACACCCTCCTTAAGATTTGTTACAAAGCATTTGATAACATTGAGGGTTGTTTGTTACCAACTTGAACCCGGCCAAGTTCCAGTACAAAATTGAGCCTTGCCGTTAAGATGGTTGTTTTGTCAAAAAGCTTTGTCATTGTATTTGTATCTGAAGCTCTGATGGGCATGGAGCATTCACTATATAACCGACCCTAGGATAGGACGCTGTGACCACAAGGGCATTATCTGCCATCCCTTCAGCCGCCCTCTGCCCCTTCTGGTAAAAATCGCTGGAACTGGACCTAGTGATTTCGTTTCATTTCATTTTGATTCACTTCCACAGAGTAAATACGTTCAGTAAATTTAAATAACTGTATTGCAATGTGCCTTGCTTAAAGACGTAAGTAGCCTGATTACAAATTAACTTGAAGATCTAGTACATAAAAAGAAAAAAAAGTGAATCAAAATGAAGGGACACGGAAGTTAAACGCATGTACTGAATAGATGAACGACCTCTTTCTTCTTCATAAATGAATTTAGTTCAGTTTTTTTTCATGGCTTACAGAAGTAGCAGATTTTATTTCATGGCTTAACTGGTTCCAAACAGTCACTCCTCGAAACGAGAAGCTCTGCTGGCCATTTGAAGTTTTACCCAGTGGAATTCCGAGGTCAGTACTGGTACGTAAGGTCCGATTGCAAGAAACGGACAATTGTGAAACATTGACATCATATAGGGAGGTGAAAGCCCATTCAAGGATTTATATACTATGCACTCTGTCTTGAAGTCAATCATTTCTTTGTCAGCTAACCACCCTAGTTGTGATTTTAATGGCAGTGGTGTTTTACCAAAGGGACTGTTCATTACGATATGAGCGGACCGATTTTGTAGCTTTTGCAATTTTCTCAGAATTGTGTCACTAGCACATCCCAAACTGAGTAACAATATCTAAAATGCGGATCAACTTTACTTACAACTAGTACATTCTTTGAATGGTTTGCAACGGAAGATATCTCTTAGAATATGTGAGCATTCCTATTCCTCGTGAAATCTTACTGATATCAACATTGTATTGCTCTTTTCAATTCGGAAATAGATCAATTTGAGCCCCAAAATATTTTATATTACTCGTGGATTAAATTTTTTCGCCATTTATTTGAAAGATTGGAATTTTTGTTGAGACATATCAGTTTAATCTTCTGAAGTTTAGTGCAGTACCAAGAATCGTGCTCTGTGTTTCTGCGACATTAAGAGGCAATTTAATTATCTGTAGCCGCAAGCTAAGATTCTGAGGATCTAAGTTCATAGCACTGCATAGGTCAGTGATTGATTTCGAGGAATAGGAGATACTTGTGTCATCTGCATACATTATGACCTTCGTTCTTTGCAGGACAAACGACAAGGCATTGATATAGATAAAAGATGGGAGTGGGCCAAGGTAGGAGCCCTGAGGCACTCCAAATTTGATGTCTTGTATTACTGATATGTTGCCATTTACTGTTAACAGTTGCATTGTTTCATATTCCTTAGGTATGATATGAACAAGTTAAGTTTAACGCCTTCCATTCCATGGAACGCAGCTTTGCTATGTGAATATTGTGGTCGAAAGTGATGAAGGTGACTCCAGAAAAGAGCCCCTTGTCGAAATTTAGATACCAGTCATTGGTACACTTGGATGCATGTCAATACGGTCTAGGTAGAGAACTTCATTTATAGTAAAATTGTTAAATACCTGTTCGAAGGCTATTTTTCAAATAATCGTGAAACTACTGGAAGCACAGAAATAGGTCTATAGTTAAAGCTATCTTCGGTGGAGCAATTTTTGAAATAGAGGAGACCCTCGCAGTGTTCCAGTTTCCTGAAAATCGACTTTGCGAAATGGATGTTTTGAATATACTGCATAATGATGGAGCATCCCAATTTTGAGAAATGAACTTGACATAGCGTCAATGCCAGAACTATGAGAAGTTTTAAACTTATTCATTATTTTGTTACGTTCATCAGGGCAAATAAGTGAAAGTTGATAGTGAAAGTTTTTGACACCCAGCTGTTTTAGATTTATCTAAGATACTATCAATCTCTATTTTCACGTTGTATACTGCACTGAACAAGATTTTCTAGTTTAATCACACATGACGCTTTAGGGTAATTATTGATTTGCCGAACTAAAATCAAAGTTGCAAAAATATTCCTTCGACCCTCCTCGCCATTCACTGACAATCTTGGATAAGATAAGAATTGAATGAAATGAGCCGAACATACGTAGTGCGAAGTGTAGCATCCCCTTACGAACAGTCTCAACTTTATTGGGTATTCCATTGGGTAAGTGGAAGTAATACGAATAGAACCCTATATTGTATCAACAGAGCCTGAAAAAGTTGACTGCAACAAATGCACTTCCAATTTGGCTGTAACCAAGAAAGCGTATAGAATTTGTGAAAAAATTTCACCAAGTGCCAAAAAATATGTTGTGCGTTTTTGATAATTACCCGATAAAAAAATCTAGGGAATCTACCTGCAGTCGAAAGACTTTGGTGTTGTACGGGGGTAAGGCTTCTTCTCTGCTACAAAGTTTGTAAAGTTTGTTATTTCTAAATCGTACACGTTATTCATGCTTTATATCTGAAGAACGGAACACGGAAGCATGGAACAGATTACTTTGTCTATTAAAAGCAATGTGTAAAATGTAAACAGTGCCTTTTTACTTTGGCTACGAAGGACGCAAAGTTTGAGCTTGGAAATGGAAATGAAAAGTTGAGAAGCAGAGGGGAGACTAAGTTACGTCATTTTATTGTGAAGATTCTGATGTTGTATAAGCGATGAATGCCTTTTCAAATCAGAGCTGGTCTGTAGAAAGCCAATCACAAGGTAGTGGACTCATTTTAGTATAAGGACTCATTTCTGATTTTTATAACCAGACCTAGTTTATGGTGGTTTGTTTTTCAACTCTAAAGCGCCCGCTAGCAGGTTACAGATTGAAAAGCATTATTTATTTATTGTGATATTCAAGTTTTACATAGGGGGATTTGTTATTCATAAAACCAAAGCTTGTGAAATTGCGAAATTCGATTTTAAACGTTAGGCTTGACACCTGAAATTGTCTGCCTGAATCGAATTTGAATGCAACCAGTTGATTAAATTCATTTCAAAGGCGCGTTATATTGCAGTTTCTCATCAGCAGGTTTTTTCATTTAAATTTATGCGAGAAGGCCACTCTTTGATACCAATTCTTTAGCTTTTTATTTCTTATCGTCATAGCAAGACAGAAGAAAAAGCTTCGAATGAAAAAAGTATAAAGACTTCACTTAACTGTTTAATTTGACTGTCTATTTGGTAAGTCATGTTATAGTTTCATTCTTTTAGAACTGCCAGTTACGTTTTAATGCGACATAACTATTTCGCCAAAGGCATAAATGTGGGAGGCACCATTTCTAGCATATATAACTGTTCCTTAGGGAATGGGTTGTCAGCTTATAAAAGTAGGAAAAAAATAATCTGCAGATTCATACTCGGTCTAGCATTACCTTTATTGGAATTTTGAAATGTTCTTGAGACATGCAGAGACTGTCCCACCGAGAACATTCTGGCCAAGGTGTGTGCTAATTTGCTAGGTAGCAGCCAAATAAATATCAGCAAACGTCTCAGAAAAACTTGGTAGACGCCTTTGACTTATAAAAGCATTTCTATGATTATTAAAGTTTGAATCAGCATGGAAACCAATGTTTGGAAATCATGTTTTATTAATGATCCTCCATTAAGAAAACCTCTTGTCTAGTGAGACCTGCACTTTAGTTATCAAGAAGATTCCTATCATTTACGTTATTTTTTGATTTTGAGAGCAGGTTGCAGCCACTTGAGATGCTGCCTTTGACATTCATCGCACTGATCTATACTTCTTTTTGTTCTAATGGTGAGTTTATTTTATGATAATGAGCTTTATTGCTTGTAAATTATCCTATCAACGTATACCAAACTCTAACCCCATGCCAGCTCTTTTGTTTTTGCAAGTTAACGCTGTTTTTGGTGATATCACGCAGTTTGTCTCATAAGAACCTCACCTCCACCTCATTATATGGATGTCATTCGTTTTCATGTACTGTGTAACTTAATTGGTAAATTCATCCAGCGAATCAATTCGCGCATTTTGCTTTTCTCAAAAAACTGTAAAAAGTTGCTGCAATCAAATTAGTTACAATTTGTACTTATAGAATAGAGACAATATGCAAATATACAATATACAATATGCTTTTAGGACTGGCTGAAAAGCCGACATTTACTCAGAAGTTTCCATATTTTTTCGAAGTCCAAGAAGGTGTCTCGAAAGGTAATTGCTTTAATGAAATTCAACAGCCTGAACATTACTCCTTGTGATCTGTCTGTTTAAAAACGAACTGAAAGTGAAAACAGTGGTGAACAAAGGGACTTTTTCTTGCGAAATACTGAAGTAGAGCACAAATATATTGCATATTCCTTTTGTTAATTCAATGTTTGAAAATTCCCCTGGTTATTTTACATACATCAATCTTATGAATGTCTGCATTCGATTCTCTGCATTCGCTTGGTCCCCAGGTCTAACAATTCTGTTATGGTGCAGTTCAGATTTAGATTGATAGTGGCAACTTCTCAAGAATCATTCAGATGCACTCAGTTGTCAAGTAGCTAATAAAAATGGGCCGTATGAAATCGAAACACGTTTTTTATCCTAACTAATATTGTTTTCTTGTTTCAACGTCACTTCAGGTCATCTCATTGGCTTTGTGAATGCAACGGTATCCAATGACACTCTCACTGTTCTGTATGAAACTTCACCGGTGACAAACAATTCCATTATCATTAACCCTGCCACCGGTGCTCTGTATGTCAATGGAGAAATTGATGCAGATGTGCCAGTGAGTTATCCCTGTAATGTCCTATTTGCATTTATGCTAATAACGTTTTTTAATTATTCTCTTTTGTGCTAATTCGATAATTTTAGAAATCAAATTTTTATAATATTTTTAGCCCTGAAATTACATTTTCTTATATGTAAATAGTTGTTTTCGTTGGTCAGTTTTTCTACAAACTAATAAAATAAACAGATTGTGATATTGCATTCATTGTATTCGTTTCAGGATATTCATGACATCCAATTTACTGTTTACGCTTACACAGTGCCCAGCAAAAAAGTAAGAAATGATTATCAATCTTACCAAAGTCTGACGACCGAATTCAATTATTCTGTTTATTATATAACACTATTGCTAACTCTGGCATGAGGAAATCTTAAAAGGCTCTTGAAAATAGGTCGAGCTGCCTGAATATCCAACTGGTTTTTGAGGTAGCATATTAATAGGCAATTTAAAGAGTAATTTTAAATTTCATCTCGAAAAACATATCATATTCTTTCTTCTCTTTTTGTACTTAATAGAAGTTCTTTGTGTACTTAGAGTTTTCACAGAAGCGGGTGTATTAGGAAATTTCAGTTTATTTCTATTAGTTTAATAAGCCAAATATGGAGGACATTGTGTTTTGATAATTGTAAGTAAGTAGGGAACCATACCCATCGGGATATCAAATTCAGGCAGCGACCATATGCATTAAAGACTGTGTGCGTTAAAATGGCCTAGTCAAATGGAACTGGTTCCCCTGTTTGTTCAGCAGTTTTATATAAAAAACGGACAAGAACAGCCACTTTGTAGATATTATGAAATAGTTTTTCAAATAATCTAACAAGTAACCCATTTAAACAAGATGTCGATCCCGATTTTCGACCCCACACATCATTTCCATATCAATGATTTAAGTATGTTCTATTGAAAATCTTCGTTAATAGTCTCTTTTGTCTCAATCATTATGATGTTAATCACAACAGTTTAGGTTACTAAAAAAACATATGTAATGGAATAAGTTGTTTTGTTTTTTTCAGGCTTCAATTAGTGTGTTTGTAATAATCAATGATGTGAATGACAATTATCCAATTTTTCAAAATCAGCCATACAAAGCCAATGTCAGTGAGGTACTATTTTCCTAATTGTTCTTATCAATTTTACTGATGTTGACTGATATGCTGACGTTGTCGCACATATTCTTTGATTTTTCAGAGTCAGTTATTTCGTACATCTAAACTTCCCAATCTTTCTTATTCTGATTTAATTTTCTAGGATTACCCCATCAACACTTTCGTCATGCGCGTTCAAGCCACTGACGTCGACCGAAAAGGACTTTCAGACCTCATATACAATATTCAAGGTTGGCAAAAGGTAAATACATCAACTATCTTTGTTAGCAGTTGCCGTTTTCAGAACAAACCCCGATTGCAAGTATGAAAGTAAGTCAACTAGTCGCTCTTACAGATCCATTGGACTTCTTTCTGCTATTATCTAAACGTGTTTCCCAATTCACATTTCAGGATTCACTTTTCGTCATAAAAGAATTTGCTGGAACTATTTGGACGAATGGAAAGCTTGATTACGAAAAAAACCAGTCACACATCCTAAATATAAGTGTAACGGTAGGCAATTGCAAACGCTTAAAATTTTTAAATCTTTTATTCAGGTTTTTAGTTCGTTTCAAATCGATATTTACCTTCTGTTTATTACATTGAGTTGTTTCAATTGTCGTGATTTTGAATTAGTATAACGTCATTTCACGTTGCCCTTATTTTTTTAAGGATGGTCGTCCAACTGACCTTAACCGGCACACTGTTTATACCACCGTTGAGATATTTGTGGCAGACCATGATGACCAAGGGGCAAAATTTGTTTCTTACAACTATTACGCTTCTATACAAGAGGGACGGCACAATGTAAGTTTACCTCTTGTTAGATAGGGCAAAACTTTATTTCCCAAAATAATTTCTCAACGCTTTTTCAACTTTTCATTGCCTCATTTTGCCTTTTCGCACGTGTTTATGCCAATTTAACTGTCAATCTAATGATCTGTTTTCATCCTAGGGCACAGCTCTTCTCCAAGTGCATGCCACTGACCTCGACAAGGGTATCAACGCTCCAGTCACCTACAGCATCTTAGCAGGTTCTTGTAACCAGAATTTAACATTTTTTCCAATTCCTGTTTAAAAACGGCGTTAAAAGGTCCGGCGAAAAATTTATTGGCTTTAAAAATGTTTGCTTTTTCAAGCCATTTTTAAGTTTTATTCTTCCAAAGAGATTTTTGTTAATTCCTGTATATGCTTATGTATGTTTTAAAGAATGTCATAATTGATAAAACCTTGTGTTATTTTGTTTAGAAAGCAACCGAAATGGAATCTACCATATTGATAGCAAGACTGGCCTGATAACTGCTAGAGGAGAAATTGATCGTGAAACCTCTGGAAGCTTGTTTTATCTTGTTGCCCAGGTATATTTGCCCTCTTATTGATAAGTTTAAAGGCTAGTGATTTGTTAGAAGAGATCTTGCTTCTGGAACGCTCTTTATAATCTATAATGGCATCTCAAATAAAAGTATCTTAGGCGTTTGTCGCTCATGTCATCGGGCACATTGCTGAATATTCCCTTTAATTTTGTCAAACAGGCAACGTCGACATCTCACGAGCCTGCAACTGCAACCATAGTCATTTCAATCAATGACACGAATGATAATGGGCCAACCTTTCAACGAAGTCATTACACTGGATTCGTTCTGGAGAACTCATTGATTGGAACTACGGTGATGCAAGCCTTTGCTCAAGACCCAGATGCTGTAAACGTCTATCCAAAATATCTTATTTCATTTTTTAATTTGAATTCAACTTTTTCAAGCACGCAACGAGGGTGGAGGATGTTGTTTCTTTTGACCCTGTCTTGATATCCAAAACTGAAAGTATAACGCCAGCTGGCTTAAAAACTTTCAATCTATAGTGTGTATATAAAAATATTGATCAAAGCTGTTAATAAAATTGCACGCTGTAGTTGCTACGTGCCTGTTTCACCCATCGTGATTTATGTATCTGGTTCATGTGATTATCACCATCTTCTTCCTATGGCATTCTTTTTGGTGCAAAAATGTGTCATTTGGTTTATAGGTCTCGATTTCACTACATCTGACGACTGATAAATAATCCAAATTTCGCTTTTACAGGGAATCAACAAAGTTCTTGCTTACAATATTGAGGGAGGACGTGAAAAATTTGGCATAAACTCTGAAGGTTACATTTTAGTCAATGGAAGTTTGGACAGAGAAAGTGATGAAAAATTTGACTTTCAGGTATTTCCACACCATCATGTGTGGTTGTTTTCTGTACCTTAATTGGCAAATTACCTTTTTCTGATATTTTGAAGTTTCAAATCAATGCAACATTTGTTCACACTAATCCTAACATTGATAGATGTCCTGCTGAGCATTTCTGGACATAGTTGGATGTGACGGAATAAATCATCCAAAAAACCATGGGGCCTAATTTCATTCACTCAAGTGGATGAAAACTAGTAATAGAGATTCAATTTGAAGCAAAGCGGAATAGGAAGCCGTGTTTTTAGGTCTCTTCTAATTTAGATCTTTTGGAATCAACTTGCGTGAGTCTTACGCATTTAAGAAACGAGGAATAAGTAGGAAAGGAGCAATAGAAGGTAAATTATAGATCTAGTGCGCTTAAGATCATAAATTTTACAGGTTGATGGGTCACTTCGAAAAAGAGCGGCGATCTGGAGCAAATATTGAGATAATGAAAACCTGGCTTGATAAGATAATGGAAAAAAGATGAAGAGGGTTAAATGAGAACATGGGGGCTGGTTAAGAATAGAAAACCGATTTTCCTCTTGATGTATGGTTTCAATAGATGCGGCTTCCGTGGACAAATACTAATCAAAATAAGCAGGGTTTTTCTTACTGCTTGTGCACGAATATGATTTAATTGTTCAAGGGGGCTAAACCGTTCCAACATCATCCAACAATGCCCAATATTTTTTAATCAAAGTCAAATGTCGTCAAAATCATCCAATATAGTCTAACAATGGTTGCCTAACCAATGAAAAATTTTACTCCCGACATTGTCCGACTTTTGCTTTCTATTTGTGTAGGTTTATGCATATGAAACGCTTACCAAAGAACAGCGTAAAACGTCCGCAAATATCACAGTATTCATAAAAGACGTCAACGACAACTCTCCAATTTTCGAAAAAAGTGCATTTGATGTTGAAATAGCGGAAGAATTGGCTCCTCCTCAATTTCTTTTACAGGTGAGACGTGATGCTTGAAAATACTCATTGTTCAATTTTGTATCTCGTGCCTTATTTTATCCTTTGCATTTGCCATATCAAAAAATCAGACATTGTAAATATTAAATTTCTTTTTCTGCATAGATTAATGCAACTGACAAGGACTTTGGCTATAACAGTGTCATTTCCTACGCGATAATTCCTGACGCTGAGAACAGAGACAAACATTTTCGCATTGAGTCACAGACTGGGAAGCTTTATACTGCGAGCAGATTGGATCGCGAAAGCACACCTTCTTTCGCACTCCTGATCAAAGCAACAGACCACGCAGTACCAGGCCAAAATAGGTTACATTTCGCCCTATTTCTTTGTCAATTTTTATTTCAGTTGAATACGTTGATAGTTTAATCAAATAAAAAGGAAGACTTTGCCAGAATGCTTTTGATTTTTTAGCAATATATTTAGTTATAACAAAAATATTTCAGTAGGAGACAGAGTTTCAGATTCATCTATATTATAAGAACATAGATTCATCTAGATTCATCTCCATTTTTCCCTTAAATTTATTATCCTTCAGTATTAACTGTCTCGACAACTTGATACTACTTTTATGCATATAGGAACTTTCTTTAGAACCAAATGAAATTAGAACGTATTAAAGCATTTTGTAAAATCCGTTTAAAGATACATTGTTGCAAATCGTTTTGATGCATGCCTTGCTACATTTGTTTTTTTGTTGCAATTACCAAGTTTAAATTTGTGCTTGAGTATCGCGTGCGTCTTACTTGCGTGTTTCTTACTTGCATGCGTCCTACTTGCGTTTGTCTTGCCCGCATGCGTCTTACTTGCGTGCGTCTTACTCGCGGATGTCTTATTCGCGTAAGTCTTACTCGCGTGCTGCTTACTTGCGTGCTGCTTACTCGCGTGCGTCCTACTTATATTCTTCTTCACATTTTAGAGACTCCATATGTACAGTTAAGGTCAAAGTCGTTGACGTAAACGACAATTCTCCAGAGTTTGCTCAAAGTAAATATTTTACATCAATAAACGAAGCTGCGAGTTTGAATACAATTGTAACTGCAGTTCAAGTAAGTAAAAGTGCTACACAAATTGAAGGGTAATTGATGTTAAAGATTGGTCAAATTGCGAGATATTTATGAACATGCAACAGGCCCATTGAACATGTATTTTATTAGCCCCTAAACTAAATTTCAATGAATAGATCTTCCGTAATTCTTTCCGTGTCCTTTTTCACCATCAGGTGCTTAAAATCGTGTCCCAAGCTGAACAATGATTCAATATGTAACCGTAATAGTTAGTAATCAAAAAGAGATCACTCAAGAAATTTTCAAAATCTATGATGATATTCCGAAATTATATAAATCATGTAGAGTCATATCATGTCTCTTAAAAAAAGGCTATAGCTAAAGAAATGCTAATAGCTTTGCACTTTTTCAGGCTTCTGATAAGGATGAAGGAATAAATGCAATTTTGCGATATAGCATTTTGCCAACAAACAACTCGGATTTTTTTGAAATAGATTCCAACAGGTAATTATCTATTTCGATCGCTTTTACTTGTATTGTGGTACAATTCACTACGTAGATTTTAATGCTTCTAAATTTGCGTGTTATATTTGTAGGGCATGCATGTTATATTCATAGATGCACGGGAAGAAGTGTTGTTTGTGCATTTTGGCTATTTCCAAATCTGAATACTTGAAATGTTTGTTTTGTCTTTGTTAGTGGCCTGATCAAAACTGCAAAGGTGCTTGACCGTGAGAAAAAGGACTTTTTCAGCCTTTATGTTCAGGCAATGGATGGAGGCAATAAGGTATTTCCAATTAGCTATTCATTTTAAAACCGCACAAAAATGCAACGATTTAGATCATCCTCATCGACCCTGATCAGTGTAGCGCGAGTACCTTTTTGGTTGTGCCAGTGGTTATGATTCTAATCAAAACTTAATCGCAGTGACCCTGCAACTGGCTACCACAAGATTTATTAACTTATCTTTGTTTTTGTATTAACTTAACTTCAAGGTTTATCATATTATTTTTCATCCTTCAGTAACACAAATTTTTGTAGGGTTTTAGTGAAATCCCTCACAGTTTCGCCCATATTTTTTATATGAATTCACCTATTTAATAGAATGGCCACTTAACATTTAATATCAAACATTATATTTAGAACATTTAGTTTTTGTTTTGAATTTTTCAGTTTTGCTATACTGCATCACCATTTGTTTAGTTTTATCAAAGTTTAAATTCTTATAAGATATGAAGATAAATAGTGCGTAGTGGCTTTTTAACCACGTATACCAATAAAAGGTTTTCTTTCATATTTCACAACGCGGTGTTATATTTCACAACGCGGTGTTGTTGATTCACGCATCGAATATCTGTCTTAGCCAATGTTAATGATCATACATTTTCCATATTTCAGTCTTCTTCTGTTCCCGTTGCTATAAATATTATAGATGTAAATGACAATTCCCCAGTCTTCACAAAGCCAGATGGCTACCACTTTGCCGTGGTAGAGGAAAAAGGTGGCCAATTTGTTGGAAACGTGAAGGTTTGCCCTCATATTTTCGATACGTTTTTGTGATTTGAAGAAACTTTTTACGAGTTGTAGTATTGATTTGCTCTGACTTGCTGCTCTGAATTTGAATGATCACTTTATGCTTGCAATGAAAAAAGAGTTTTATTTTTAGGCCGTTGATATTGATGAAGGACCATCTGGTGAAGTAAAATATTCAATTACAAATAGCGAATGGTAATTGATTAGTTGACTTTTATGTAAGAATTGCTAAATTGTGTTCTTAATTTTTTAAACAACTATTCAAGCAGCTTTTCAAACTGTAGCGGAGAATTGTTATTTTTAGTGCGTAGCGAGAATCTCTTTGCTTTTTGAATAAACTTCCATTAAAACTTTTCCCTGGTGCCTTTTGACGGGATTGAAGTAAACGCTTTATGCATAATACAGTAACTATTCCCCCGTACTTAACATCGGAAAAGCAAAATGCTGAAAATTTAGAAAAAATTTATTGTTTATGAATTGCTTACATTTGGGTAATTTTTAATTTTGCAAGGTTTCAGATTGACGCATTAAATGGCACCATAACGACAGCTAAAAAGCTTGATCGAGAAACAGTTGGCGTCCATAAAATTACAGTTGTGGCTGAGGATTTATCCAGCATTGCTCCAAGGAACAGCTATACTCAGGTACATCATATAGTTATAGCAAATCGATTCACAGGTCAACATTCAATCATTACTACTCAATCTGAGCGCTTCTAGGGAGAGCAAATCATTTTGTGACCATCCCTTTAAGTGAGCAGCAACATAACTGAGCGAAAGAAAGAGACAAACAACCTAACTGAGCTACACCTTAAGTAATCAGCATCTTAAACGAGCATAAACTTAACCAACAACTAAGTAATCAGCATCTTAAACGAGCATAAACGACCCGTAACACTATCGAGCCAAAATTGAATGAGCAGCAACTTAAGCGATCATCAACTTAGCCATCAACAACTTGAGCGATCAACAACTTAAGCGATAAGCAATTCAAGCCATCAGCAACTAGAGTGAGCAGCAACTTAAGCGAATAGCCACTAGGCGAAAAAAACTCAACGATCAGCAACTTAAACGATCAGCAACTTAGGCAAATAGCAACTTAAGCCATCAGCAACTTAAGCTAGCAGCAACTTGAGCGAACAGCAACTTAAGCTAGCAGCAACTTGAGCGAACAGCAACTTAAGCTAGCAGCAACTTGAGCGAACAGCAACTTAAGCTAGCAGCAACTTGAGCGAACAGCAACTTAAGCTAGCAGCAACTTGAGCGAACAGCAACTTAAGCTAGCAGCAACTTGAGCGATCAACAACTTAAGTGATAAGCAATTCAAGCCATCAGCAACTAGAGTGAGCAGCAACTTAAGCGAATAGCCACTAGGCGAAAAAAACTCAACGATCAGCAACTTAAACGATCAGCAACTTAGGCAAATAGCAACTTAAGCCATCAGCAACTTAAGCTAGCAGCAACTTGAGCGAACAGCAACTTAAGCTAGCAGCAACTTGAGCGAACAGCAACTTAAGCTAGCAGCAACTTGAGCGAACAGCAACTTAAGCTAGCAGCAACTTGAGCGAACAGCAACTTAAGCTAGCAGCAACTTGAGCGAACAGCAACTTAAGCTAGCAGCAACTTGAGCGAACAGCAACTTAAGCTAGCAGCAACTTGAGCGATCAACAACTTAAGCGATAAGCAATTCAAGCCATCAGCAACTAGAGTGAGCAGCAACTTAAGCGAATAGCCACTAGGCGAAAAAAACTCAACGATCAGCAACTTAAACGATCAGCAACTTAAACAAGCAGCTACTTAAGTGTTCAGCATTATTAAATACATAGTCCAGTGTGCTATCTCTTTAGTAATCACACAGTTGTAATACTCTATGAACAGGTTGAGATCACTGTGCTTGACGTGAATGACAACTCACCAAGATTTGCAGATCCCGCTTCCTATTCAGCTGTGATACGAAAGGATGCTGAAGTTGGCTCTTTCGTGTACGGTTTCAGAGCGCTTGATCCGGATATGGGGGTGAATGGCCAAGTGACCTATTTTTTAAGTGGCGAGTATAGAGGTAATTGTCTTTTAATTTTCTGTGCGTTGTTGATTCCTTGCACAATGTGTTGGAACGCTTTGAGTGGTTAAGGATCTATGTAATTTTAGAATCAATGGCAACAATTCGCTTAAAGCAGGATTTGACTTTTAGGGTTGCTTTCATTGAGCAACGATACTGGGGACCTACGAGTGAATGCACCTTTGACCAACTGGACAAATGGCTCGATGGTAGTTAGAATCATCGCACAAGACAGCGGAGAACCAGTTTTATCCAGCACTGCAGAGCTGTTTGTTCACTTTTCAAATGTTGTTAAAAATGCACCGGTTATTAGCCCACCGTTAATCCAAGTTTCAGTCAACGAGGTAAATGACCTTTCTCTTTAGTTTAAACAATTTTGTTTTTTTGTGTGGATTCAATATTCAACTCATTTGACTGGTGATAAAGAAGTATGTTAGATGCATGTTAGATGAGAAAGCATGTTAAATAAGATGTACGAAGTGATCTGTGAATTCAATGACCTTCTTGCTTTTTTTCAGAATGCAGAAATAGGAAGTTTAGTGTACGATATCAACGCACAGTACGATGGAAAATCTGAAGAGGTGTCGTTTCGATACTCAGTTATCCACGGTGATGAGTCTTGTTTTAAAATAAATTTTGAAACTGGAAAGATTACCACACTCAAAAAATTGGACAGAGAGCTGACTGCTAAATATACAGTAAGTTTCATTCAAGGGAACCTTTTCCAAGTTGCTTCAATTATCATTCTCAATAACTGCAAGATAACTTGAAAATCATTTGTTGACAGCCTTTAGGTGGTAACGCTGATAATACTTAATTTTATTGCTTGATATTGTTTGCCAATTACAGCTCATAATCATGGTCCAGCTTCGACAACAAACTGAAGCTAACTTTGCTACTGTGGCCGTAACTGTTGAGGATGAAAACGACAACCCGCCAATGTTTGAGAAGGTTTATACTCTTCGTTATTTTATTCTTATGTCGATTTATTCTTATGATAACAGTTTTTTTATAATAATAAACAGTGGGAAATATCTATCTAAGCATGCGTTGTGATTAATTAAAGAAAGTGAATATTGAATTAATCGATTCAAAATGTATGATTCTTATCGGTTGCTATTGACCCAGGTGTAATTTAGATGAAAGGGTTGTGCTTTTTTCTTCTTTTAAAATATGTCATACTGTTTTTGCAACCTAGGATTCTAGGTAATATTTCTAATTTGTTTTTAGAGCATCTTTTTTGCACGTGTATACGAAAACCAACATGCCAACACAACTGTGATGAAAATTACGGCATTAGACCAAGACGATGGAATAAATTCCAGAATCTTTTATCATCTAAATGGTTTGTAGTTTCATTTCATTTCTTATCAATTGATATTTAGGAACCTTAATTTTCTCTTTGCAGAAAATTTGCGTACTCAGTTTGAAAATCCGTCATTTCCCTTACAGGAAGCGACGAATTTGCTGTTAATGATGAATCAGGAATTATATCAACCACGGTTATTTTGGTAAGTTGCTTCATTTTATAATCCTCACTTTTAAACTCAAACCCTTAATATAATTAATTTGACTTTCAGAATATGCTCCTTTTCATTCTTACAATGTCTGCTGTTGGTTCGTGTCTTATTGTATAGATCTGCCATATACATTGGTATTGTTTATATTCAAGGCATATTTTATGTGAACCTTCAAAATACCTTAAGCAGGTTCAGTATTTAATGCTTTCAATAATCTTTCATTGTCGGACTAAAACTAAATCTTGATGCACACTGCCATGATTTATCCGTCTTTTACTGTGTTCTAATTTCATTACAATTTCCCAGGACAGAGAAAACACTTTTGAATACAACTTAACACTCACTGCGGTGAATGCTTTGTCGACACCGAGGCTAACGTCTTCGTGTCAAATTCAAATTCAAGTCTTAGATCTAGATGACAATGCACCAACATTCGCCAAAGACGTTTACCAAGCAGTTGTTGTTGAGAATTCCCCTGTCGGAACTTCAGTTCTAAAAATGACAGCTTTTGATAGGGACAAGGTTTGTCTTCAAAGACTATTTTGCAAATTGTTTTCTACTATTGCTACCTTAGCTTATTGTTTAGTTTAGCTCCCCTCACGAATAAAATCCACCCCCCCCCCCCAACCTAGAATAAGCAACTCCTCTTTTAAGCATCGAGTTTTGAAGAAGCCCACTCTCGAGCATAATCCCCTATTATGCTGTTAGATTTTTTTTTGGAAAGTTAACTGACTATAACTTCCATATAATGTTTTATTGTAACAGATAACCTATGTGTAGTTTGAATTTAATTGGAAAGCCTTTTTTATCTAATCATTTATTTTTTTTCGGTTTCTTTTGGTCACAAATCTTGTTGCTTTTGAATGATATTATGTGTGGTGAATTGCCTCCTCAACAAAAAGTATTAAGGCAGTTTGACAATCATCCTTTTTGGGCTCATTTGAATAATTATGGCATTCGAAAGTTTCCTTTTCTTGAAGAAATTTTTTGTATATCGCAATGAGTTTACGAGAAAACATTTTTAGGGCACGAATGGCTTTGTAAAGTACGATCTTGAGCAAGCTGACTGTTTTTTCATTGAATGGGAAACGGGTGTAGTTCGAACATCATGTGTCATTGATCGGGAGAAGACACCATTTTTCACGGTTAGTGCCTTTCAAAAGTTTTTGAAATGTGGCACTCGATATTTTTAATGTTTGCTATCGTCTTAGTCATTTGTTTTATAAAATTCGCGTTTTGGCTAGAAGCATTCGTTTGATCATATAAATTTTTAAGAGATTGTAGTATTGAATTTTTAAGAGATTGAATTTTCTTTGAGGCTGAATATTTTATATATTGAAAGATATTCAGAAACAAAGAAATACGACGACAAAAATCCAATGTAACGAGATAAAATTTTCGTTACATTGGATTCTAGTCGTTCTTATTGCTCTGTTCCTGAACATCTTTCGTATTATTACTCATTGCAAGATTCACAGAATCCGGCGGACAGCCTATCCTGCGGTTCTTCCTTCTTACACGTTTAAGATATTGCCGTTTCTACCTCTTTAAGCTGGCTGTAACTGCGAAAGGGATAGTCTCACCCTACTTATCATCCATTGCAAAGTTGCAAGTTACCATCGTTGATGTTGATGACAATCATCCGCTGTTCACGTCAAAAATTTTCAGGTCAGTCACTCTTTAGGATCTGCCAGTAGCATCATATTGTAACTATGTGTATCATCTGTCCGAGCACAGTTTCTGTTGCTGTCATCTAAACGTCTTTCAGTCACTTGAATAGTCAATGTCTTCTCTGGTTTAACAGGTTCAATCCGAGCGAATATTTACAGCCAGGATCCATCGTTGGAAACCTAAGCATTGCTGATAATGATTCTTTCATTGGAAAAGTTTCGTATGAGTTATACTCAGGAAATGAAGAAGGTGTGTTTTTTATTGCAATTGGTGCGTTTATAAAATTGAACAGCATTCAAAAATTCCTTCAAAATTACCAGAGTCCAAATTCTTTTGACAACAGATTTTCATAACACGTTATTGTGCTTTGCATATTCTGCTTTAGGTCACTTCCTTCTAAACAACGTGACAGGAAGGCTAATTTTGAAGAAAATCCTTGATAGAGAGGTTACACCCAGCTTCCAGCTTCAAATTCGTGTCTACAGTTTAGCAGCTCAAAGTATGGTTGTTCGAAGCAAAAACGGTATTTTTTGAGAGAAGTTTTTAGCTTTGAATTCTTACAATTTTCCATATCTTCATAAAAATATTTCCTTCTAAAATTGATTTCCCTCACTTGGATTTTCTAAAGACATCGACATTATAAACCTACTTCATTGAAACATTTGATTTGCTTGTGATGCGATATGAATTTGTTGATAGCTGAATTAGCTTTTTCGCATGGCCTTGCTGAATATACTTTCAAATAAAAGCAAAGAAATGGATAACATAAAAAGGATTCCGTGCTTTATGTTTTAAATATTGCCCATCGCTGCTGTTGCTTTATGCATTTCCAATATATCTGTTTTACATGTGTTTTTTACAGCTAGTTTGCCGTTTGATCAAGCCATGATTGTCATAAATGTTAATGATGTCAATGATAACGCTCCGTTTTTCATCAAAGATACTTTCATTGCAGGTAAATACAATTTTGAACTGTAAGGGGAGGGGATTTGAATTGTTTTACGTTCTTCGTTTCTTTGTATCCGCAACTTCACATTCTCTGTGTATTTTTACTAAGATGATGCATTTTTCAACAGCGGTTCGTGAAGATGCCAAATTCAACACCGTCATCGCTCAAATTTACGTAAGCACAGCACTTTTTCTATCTTTGTTAAAAATCGTTCTTATATGGCCACATTGTCAATTTTTCAGTTTCTATAGAGACAAAAATGTGTTTAATTCTTTATATTCTAGGCAAACGATAGTGATATAGAAAATTATGGATCACTGAAATACGAGATAGCATCTGGGAACGATCAGGGACTGGTTTCATTGGAAGAGCTAACGGGTACAATAAGAGTTTCCAAATCTTTGGTTGGAGATGCTAGGCAGTCTTTGAAATTGTATATCACAGCAAGGGATAATAAAGGCGAAGCTCCATCAAATCAAGCTGCTAATATGGCAACAATCGAAATTCACATAATTGGAGATAAGCAAACTGGTATTGTTTTGGTGGAGGCCCCTGGAAGCTATGTCCACAATCATGTATCCTTGCTAGAAAGGTTATTATTTAACTGTTTTGCATGCATATATTTGTTCAGACCTCAGAGCGAGGATTACTCTTACTTTTGAGCACTCCTATTTCACATTAATCCTTTTGCGACATCTCTGAAAATCAAACAAATGAATAAGTTGCTACTATGCCGATCCTTCTTATTAGTAGTAAATTGCCTTTGCTGGACCTTGCAAGTTCTAGTACGTTCAAGTACATATTTTGCTTCACCGTCTTTATATATGTAATGTAATACGTTGCTTTGATATTTCTGCTGTTATTTTGTCTTCTAGCATACTTAGCAATGCTACAAATTCTGTGGTTAAAATTGACAAGATCGTTTCAACCGTTAACAAAGAACTGTGAGTTCCTCCCTTTTTTCAAAATACTGTAGAAAAGGATTATGAAATTGTTGTGCTTTAAAAAGCATTTTCGTTTGCCTGAAATTGTCCTGTAAGGCGGTTGTCACTGTCAAGGCGCCTGTCACTGCGAAGGTAGCTGTCACTGTGAAGGTGGTTGTAACTTTAGAAAGTGTCCATTGCTGCGATTTTCCATAGTACTTTAATTGTTTTTCTCAGTGGTGATGTGAGGCTATCCTTATAAACAGTTAAAAAGCATCTTTGCAATTTGCTGTTATCTTGAATTAGTTGTTTTCGTGTTACATCATTTCTACAAAGTTTTTGTCCTTTTTGTACAGGTTCATGTTGTATTTTCATGCCATACAAGAAAAAAGCAAAACGGTATTGAGCACAGATGACATTGCCAGGTAAATAACTCGTCTTTTCCCAGGCATCTTTTCGGATTTTTTAATTTTTCAATAACCAGTTGCTCATTTTCTTGATGAAAATCAATATCAGCCCAAATGATCACAATCTAATTCTAGGCTTATCGCGGTACCTGGTCCTTCCAGTTTACTGCTAAAAGGTCACAACATTTCATGGTATTCAAAGGACATTCCTTTATCTGGCAAGTCCACATCCGAACAGAAGAGCAGCGTCGAAATATATATTGGTGTTATCGCGTCCATTGCAATTCTTCTCATGTTGACATGTGCCTTTGCGATTTGGGCAGCGTGCTCTAGGCGGAAAGGGTATGTTCTTGTTCAACTATAAGTTGCCAACTAATCTAGCTTTAGTTAAAATGATTTTGAAAATCGAGAAAAAAACAAAAACCTTTCTTCTTGTTGGAATTAACTGTAATGTTGAGCGCGAATGCTAAATTCACAAACATACATTTACACAACTGAGAGTTGATGGTAAGGTAGTCATTATATATAATTTCATATAATACTGCTCAACAAAGACCATTTTTATCAAATCACAGGATTTGCTTTGGATTTACCTTCCAGTAAGTCTTTTAAGCATTTCCTGGCTCATGAAAACGTGAAACTATCCGTTTTTGAAAGCTAGTAGCATGCAATGAAATTCTTTCGGTCAGACACACAATAACGGATTTTTTTTATCAAGGCCCGCTCATCTTCACTACTGGGAATTATTTTTATGCTGAACTTAAACATTTTTCGTAAGAATACAAAATTTACTAGTTTATTGAGATCATTTTAACTGAAAGAGAACCGAGAAATTCCTTTTGGTAGTTTAAAGGATCGATATTCAGAAGAGGATTTTTATTTTATTGCAGATTTTCAAAGGTACCTAGAAAAGACTGTGAGGCCACTCAATTAAGTTTGAGGTATTGGATTTAGAGTTAAACATGACCAAAAATGCCTAACAAGCTAATCTTTATTTTAAAAGGTAAAATTTGAATAGCTAACCAATGAAATTTCGAAAAATACTCTAAAACTGGTCACCTTGTAAAATGTAAGCTGACTAAACTAAAATTATACTAATACACTTTGACATATAAAAACTAATCATCTAACCAAAATAACGGTCATAAATGCAGGGTATCAACAAAGTTGCGTAAAAATCTTAAAGCAATTTTTAAAAATTTTTAAACTATTAAAAAGAAATAAAATTTCAACTAATTTTTTGGTCAAAAAAGTCTTTTTTACCACAAAATCTGGAGAGCACGGAAAAGCTGAAACATTTCGTATTAACCAACCTTTCCTGTCCATTTTTTGGCATTCCTTTAGTCCAAAAGAATGGGAAATTGGTTCTTTTGCTTCAAGGCCCAAATGATTTCCTGAAGAACCTAATGGGGCCCCTAAGTGTCATCGATGTCAATTCGGTTTTTTATAGAGAAAATGGCTAGTTTCTTGGCCGAGAGAAACTTCTGTTATGGACATAAAGCAATTTATTTGAAAATAGCTGGGAAGAGCTATGTCATACTAAAGCAGTTCTCGTCCGACACTCCTCAAGGTATAAACGACGGATGATGTTGAGGGCTAAGCAGAAATTTTTTAGCCCAATGCGGATGGAAAGTAACGTGAGAGAGCGGAAAGCGCGTTTGATTGGTTCTTTACTAGGAACCAAAACTAAGGTTCAATACTTTCTGCCACATCCCAAACAAACTAGAGGGTAATGAGGAGAAGGGAGGTGTGCCAAGTGTTTGAGGATTTATATGAGATTTCAAAAGTACAGTTTAAATTTTGTTTATATCTGAAAGAAAGCTAGAATCTAGCTTTCGTGAGTGGATTGTACTCCCATGATACCAAGGAGCATGAATACCAATGTTGTCTTAAGCTTGGATATAAACTATGAATAATACACAGCCTTTATCTACAAAATATTTAGCCTCGGCATGGACTTCAGTCAGAGCTATCTCTAGATCCACTTCTGCCAAGGAATCCGAAACATATAGTAATCATTTAAAATCATTGGAAAGCAAGGTCTTGTCTTCCTTAGCCTGCGCGCAGATCCAGTATTCTTCAGAGTACTGGGTCTGCGCGCAGGCTAGGTCTTCCTATCATTTAGGCATTTTGGGATTTGTACATCGTAACAAAGAGCCCTGACTGTGTAGACAAAAAGACTTCGTTTTCTCTTTTGGACACTTCAACTACATTAGGAACAAATAATTTCGTCAGGTAAATTTTCGGCGGATAAACTTCGTGGATGATTTTTAACATAGAGATAGCAACATATTACCAAACTCGTAAGAGGCAAAACCATACAGGTTGCTTTATATTCAATGCCATAGGTACCAACCTCGTGGAGACTTGGTGGCTTGAGCATCAGTTCGGAAACTGTCCCAACCCCCCAGGCAGCTTTTTCACACAGAATAGCATGTCAGAAAACCAAATTAAAACGGTCAATTTACTCAGTTTATGCAAAGGTGGGATCAAAAGAGATGCTTTCAGCATTCCAAAAGTCTCTAGTCTTTATCTATATGGTATGAAAGTTTAAAGACATACATTGGAAATAAACGTGTGAAAATAACTGTAAGATTCGGAAAGCACAAGACTATTCAAACAGGAAAAGCTTGAAATTTTGCTTCCTGTTGAATTTTTTGTTGAAAAGTGCAAATAGTTTGAACGAATGAAAGAAAAAGTACAGTTTACAGAGATGGAACCGGTGACAAAGAGCAGTTAGAACAGTAGCGTAGCCAGAGTGATAAAGTTAGGGGGCAAAGGCTAGTTGAGCAAGGAAAAATTAGGGTCTAAACCCGCTTGGACGCCAGAAAACGCTCTTTTTCAAAGAAATTTTTGCGATTGGAGAGGGAACGTCCGCCTCCTTTTGCTTTCCCCTCGCTACGTCACTGAGTTAGAACAATTTTTATCGAACGATAGTGAAAAAAAGTTAGTTTAAGAACCGACGACGATGATGATGATGATGATGATGATGATGCCTACGATAAAGATAATTTTGAAGATTATGTAAATGAGGAAAATGCGATAGTTAACATTGAATAGATCGAAAGGATACATAAATTTGATCCTTGACCTGACCTCATGTAATAATTTTTCTATGCGAATTATCAAAAACCTCAAATACAAAAAATTTCCTCGTGACCAAATTTCGTCTCATTTTGAATCTAGTCCAAGAAAATTTTGTCAAAATATTTGTCCGAAATTTTGTTACGATGAATTTTTTTGTAGTTAATGTAGGTGAAAGATAACTGGCTGCGATTGGTCAGGAACAAAGAACCAATCAAACTCAAGTTACTTTGATCCGCTTCTAGATTTAAATTTTCTGCTTTCCTTTGGACATCATCCAACGTTTATGCTACTTTTAAACTTTGCTTCCAAGTATGTTCAAACTAAACGTACCAAGTATGTTTCCGCATTTCTGTGTTATTTTCTAATAGCTTAGTATTGTGCCTAGCCCACATTTAAAACGAGTAATGCGTAACATGTTTAATTTTGTAAATTTTACAATTGAGTGGCCTTAGTTAATCTCTCTTCAAAGTCAATAGCACTAAAGCTATAAACTAATTATCGCCATATTGACCATTAAGCTAACCTAATTTCAATCTGTTTACATCTAAGTTTTAATCTATTTGCGAACTGAAATTTATTTAAAGAATTTAAATTCTTTTATTTATGTTTTATATACTTTCAAAAGTTGAAAGGAAGTTTCTGTGTTGTGAGGGCAAGGCCTTTAGATTTGATCGCTCTGAGTCAACTCTTCCGGAAAATGACTTGACATCTAAATTATAGCAATTCGCCTCCAAAAGATACCTCAATCGATAACGGCCATACTAACTGAACCAAACCAATGCTAAAATTTGATTTTTCCATAGCCATGGAATTCCTTAGCGATAGTATTTGAACACTAGTTATTAGAAAATTGTATTTCTTCCGGAAACTACGTCGCAGGTAGTCCGAACCTGTCTCTAATTTCGAAGCATTTAATATTGCGGTATGAGATTAGATGGGTACCTTCTTGAGGATATAGAACTTTGTAAATATCTACATTTGCAAAAAAGTAGTTATAGAGCACTGCCAAAGGTTGAATATTTTGAGAAACTGGTAGTTGTTGTCATTGTAATATTTCGAGTGTTCCGAGGGTTACTCCAGTCCCTATTTACCTGAATGTATAAATCGTTGCCTCTTCTTAGATCAGCTGAGAAAAATCATTCTGTTTCGGCCCAGCTGGAAACGCAAACAAACACTTTGCAAACATTTTCTGAACCATTCACTGTCGGGTGAGTTTGATGTCAACTCTTATCTACTAATTTCTAGTCTATATTGGAATCAAAGGTTTTGAATTTTTGGTCTTTTGCGCAATAGCCATCCAGATCATACAGAACTTCCTGTTTTACTTCTGCTGCAATCTTAGGGAAACAGGTATCAATATAAAATTCTTAGATTTGCTCAGAAAAAGTATGACGAGGTACCAGAATATATTATTTTGAAGTAACTATATCTATATTTTTTATCTTAATAGCTTTTAATGCATTTTAATGTAAGGACATACTATAAAGTTGCTCGAATTTTGTGAACGTCAATCAGGTATGCTTCATATTGACTTGTGTCTGTAATTTAACATCCTCCTTCCTTCCTCCTACTTAGCTATTTATTCAGCATGAATCAATGCTAAATAAAGGAAACATATATTTGGCAATGTCTTAATTTGGGACGCTTTTTAAAGACGGTTGTTATTCAAGCTGATTGTTTCCTCTGGGTTAATCTAATTTCACTGACCTTACATTTATTGGCACATTCTTAACAGCTCTATCAGAAGTGCAAAGTCTACTAGCAGGTACATCATTGAACCTTATGAATCAAACGTAAGTAACGCAAAAACTTCTTCATAAAATGTATAATAAAGGTTTTAATAAACCTTGCATGGACCCATATCAATTTTTATAACGCAGAGAAGCCATCTTGCATTCTGGCACAATAGCTCTTTGTTGTTTTTTTCTATTGATATATCTACCATGAGTAATTTGCCATTACAACTTAACCTCTCCCACACCCTTCACTCCTCTATCCTTCGACTCCCTGGACCCCCTGGACCGCCGCCTCCCTTTCAACAAATCCCCCCACGTCTCCCTTTAGCCCTATTACTCCCCTACACTCAGCCTTAGCCCTATATTGTTCAAGGGAGTTGGGCTGGGTTGCAAGTTGCTTTTTAGTAAGCTCAAATGAAGGACATCACAACTATTCAGTTTAAGGTTAGTAATTAATAGCAAACCTAGAGTGGCTATTAACCTAGAAACCTAGAAAAGCTTGCTGAACACATTGCCAGCAACATAGCCACATTTTTCTTTAGTGCTGGAGAGAATGACTAGATCAAACCTTTTGTCACCCGCAATACGCACTCTGTAATGTATTGGTCTGGATATACTGTATTTCTTGTGTCACGTGTTGTGATTGATAGATACGCCGTGCGTTCTTAAGCACCTAATGTACCTTCATCTAAGCAAGACAGATACAATGGCGAAAGACAAGGATGATTAGAATCCTTGGCTTTTTGCAGTCTTTTAGGTCACTTTTCCCGGTAAAAGTATTAGCTTATTCCCGTCTCACTTATCAAAGAAAAGTTATACTATTTTGCAGCATAATATTGAAATAGAAGACAGATCAGAAGACCCCGAATCACACTTAAGCGAAAACCCATTCTACATTGTCGAGGCATATGACGAAATGACAGGGAGCACCCAGCCAAGCTACCTTGATTCTGGCGCAAAGCAATCGAACACATGGATGTATGGAGGGACGGTTGGCCCATCCGATGATGTTGATGATGTAGTTGAAGCAAAGCTGCAGGGTTTAACCGAATCACAAATCGAATTTTCTTTGATGAACCGAGCGGGAGCCGTCATTGCAGACGATACTTTTGTATCTAAGGATTCACTAACAACGGGGGGTCCGCTTTTTACCAGTGAAAAACTAGAAGATACCGTGGCCATAGGCAGCAGTAAAGCGGAAAAATTGGAAAGGGAACCAGGAAGCAGTATTTCTAGCGATAATGAAAGTGAAGAACCCTGCGAAGATTCATGTGAAACGGACGGCACTTTGGATATCGGACCATTTAGTTGTGAACCGTCAAGTGCACAATCAAGTGATCAAACAGTGGATGGCACCCGGACTGATTCACGGACTGATTCAAGGACTGATTCACGGACTGATTCATGGACTGATTCACGGACTGATTCACGGACTGATTCAGCGCCTGTAAGCTCAATACCTTTTTGCAATGCAACTTATTCAACAAATCCTTTTTCATTGATGTCCGAGCGATTACCAGCAACTGACCCATTGGTAGATACCTCGCTTGACTCTTCAAGCAATGTTAAAGATGTGAACCAAAATGAAAGAAAACCAAGTGAATCGAGAAAACGACCGTCATTGCCCGTCATAAAAAAACAGTGGGATGAAGACATTGACGTTGCGGTGTCCTACTTATAAGAGAGATGGCATCGCAAGAAAAAATCGACTAAAAAAAGTAGTGTTATCGACAGTTGACCTTTTTTCAACTAAAATATATTAATAAATGAGTATTACACTTCTTAAAACTTAATATAGTTGTACAAAGTTTCTACAAATAAAACTCTAAAGCACGCCGATATTCTTTTTAGTGAACAGCAACTTTAACAATTCAATGCTAGCAAATTTCCAAAACATTATATTCCGATATTTATACGAACAAAGATATTATATTCAACTTACTTTGCCATGCGTGTATTGAACTCAGAGTTTAGGATAATAATACCCCAGCTAAGACTCCCAATATTGATGCAAAACGAAGATGCCCTTAGTTAATGTACCATCATGGAAATACCCTCAATCATGATGTGCCACATATTCAAACTGAGACCTGTTTGTAGGGTTGTTCTGTGCTCCTGTTGTGATGCGCTGTGCCCCTACTAAGACTCTTCGGTGATGATAGAAAAAATAACTAAAATATAAATTTGTTGCATAAATTCGTATAACGTAGTTCCAGCGAGAAGGGCGTTTAATATGCTCTCTGGAGTCGTCAATATAAACATGGCTCATTAGAACGCTATTTATCGCTTCTATGAAAATGATCAGTTAACTAGTATAAACATTACTCGATCGACAGAACTCTGCTTCTAACAGACAGTGATAATTCACAAATTTTAAAGTACATTCTTAATGAAAAGAAACCTTAGGCTACCACGACAATATTTCAACGACTTAAAAAGCCTGCAATTTTTCAACGACTTAAAAAGCCTGGTAGTGACAATGCGTGGAAAGGACTCTAGTAAACTACAAGTGGTAATTTATCCTGATTTATGCAATGGATTGCAACTGGCATATCTGGCAACTGCAACTGGCACTGGTATAATATTTATATCGTCATGAAGAACATGCCTCTGAAATAAAGGAGGTAAACTTATTTTCATAACTGTTTGCTAATAGGAATTTAGGTTTCTCGAGCTAATGTAAGAAAATTCAGGCAGCATCGAAGCAATGGAGCAAACATTGAAATAAGCGATTTGCCAGCTTCGAGGAATCACACTGTTGTAAATAAATCATTATCCTTCCACTTTAGCTGTGCCCTAGAATACTTTTAAACTTTCGTTTATAATGAAAGAGGGCTAGTACATTTATAAAACGTTGCATTCTTATTTGCAAAAAATGATATTTCAACATATTTGCAGAGGAGACCTTGATTGAATTTAGCTGGACGCACGTCTGCAGTAATAACCCAAAACCTTGCACTTCTCACACAGCATTTGCGGGTGCTCCTTTGTCTGGTCGGAGACATCGAGACCATCCGGCTTGTCCAAGGGCCTTTGTTTGTGTGGGTATACGTTTAGGTTGCACTTGATGCACATCTGGCCCATGTTGGCCCAACTATTTCCACTCATCCACTTGCGCTTGCATGAAGGACATTTGTATTCACCAAAGCATCGCTTCTTCCCTTGGTAGGGTGTCAGCCCTTCTCCCTTGGGCCTTGCCTAAACAACAATTAATAATTTCAAGGTCCTATTTCATTACAAATTAGGTTCAAAAGAATTTTAAGATTTGGCCTTTTTGAGATATTGAATTCGTAAAGAATCGATATATTTTCCTCAGCTAATGCTGTTTTATTTAGTTGGTCACTAGTTGGTCTAGGTGGTTCGTTGTTGAGTTCTTTAAAGTGGTAAGACAAGCAGTGTTCTCGCCAAATTCCATCAAGCTCCTGGTTTTCATTTTTGGCTAAAAAGTGACCGTGGAGAATTTATCTTCTCTACCAAACGGGAGAGTAAAAGTAATCTTCATTATTATTGCTGGGTATGTATTTCAACATGAATTGTGAACACTTGTTTGGTTGAAAAATTTATTGCGCGTTTATTTAAATTGGAAACAGGTGCGCCTTTAATAGCCTGTGCGGCATTTAGTTAGACTGTGTGAGAGAGGAGCAGCATGTTTTGCGGCTAGATGCCTCTCTGGTTCTTGTTTCCTGAGTAGATAAACTGACCATAAAGAAGACCACGGCCATATGCTCACTAAACCAAAGCAGATATGTGCCCATATCCTGGTTTATCTTCTGACATTTGCAACTAAACTTAAATAATCAGCCTAATATAAAAAGAAACCGCAGACTTATATGGGTGTAAGAGCCAAAAGAAAGCTTCTTAGACCTTCTTTATGACGTATCGTTGTCAAAATTTATAGGCTTAACTGCTTTTTCATTTGTTGTTATAATGAAGATATCATTGATCCATTGACTCTGTCTTGGACTTGAGAACTTGCCAATGTTGTCGGCTGTTAACAAAAAAAAATCGACAAACAATCGCTGCAATAAAGCATTTTTAAAACCTTTGAAAAATTAACAATTCTAGTTCCTAAGGTTAGTAGTAAAGACCAGGATACGAAAAAAATACCTGCGGGCAGTCTTTTATGTAGTGTCCCTTACAGAAACAGAGATGACACAAATATCCTTCGGGTGGTTTCCTTGACTTCTTTCGTTCCGCCAGTTGAAAAGGTGTTAGAGACAAGTCGAAGTCGAGGCTGCCGGGGCTCAAGGAACCAGAAGAGAGTGAAGCGGGCTCATCAAAGCTGTATGATCTTGCGTTGGACGAAAAGTCTAACTGCTCATAAAGATCGTCTCTATAATCGATGAAATCTGATGCCAGCTGGACATCGAATCGTGTTCCGTAGTTTTCGAGCCGAGTCTTTGAATTCTGATGGCTAGCTTGGTAGCAATGAAATTTATTGCGAATGTAGTCATACTGCCTGTAATCCATCTCTTCATCCAAAGGGTCGAAAAATGTCTGTTCGTCATAACTGTTTCGGCAATAATTGGCAGGCATTGTAAAAGAATGTTCTTCTGCCTCAATGCTTTTTAACAGATCGCTGGCAATTGTAGAGAAGACATCATTCACTTGTCGTTGCTGCTTGTGCTCTGCCAGGTGTCGTGCACTTTCACGCTGGTTGTCCTAAAATTAAATTGGTCATTGGCACGAAATTGGCAAATTGAAATTGTTTTACGATAAATGCCACACCTCGTCAGCTCTAAGACATTTTAGACAAAACCTTAACTGCTAAGAATAATATATTATAGTGTTGGGACTTTCTTTTGCTTCAAATTAGAACGAAACTTACCATCGGAAGGAGTTGTTTTGCATTACAAGACATGACTTTTTGAAGACAGGCGATGATTAGGAACAATGAACTGATTATGAAGCTCAAACTGGCTTTAAGGATGATGCATATTTTATGAAGAAGAGTTGATTTGATCACAAGACTCTTATTTAAAGCGAGAATATAAATTTCAGCAATTTTGCTTGTTCTATGCAAAAATTTATGGATTCGGGTTCATGAATTTTAGATAAGTACCATTTCATAAGCAATTCAAAACAGAATGATATGAAAAGCAGGCAATCAAGGGCAATACAGATGTCGCTAAAAACTCCTCGTCAATAAACTTAAATTAACAAGAAGCACATATGATACTAACCCGCAATCTTACACTTTTTCTAACAAAGTCGCTCTTTATAAGTTAAGATAAATCCATTTAAGTCCCTTTGGATCCATAAAAATATAACAAAGGTATTACAAGGGAGGCATTATAGGAGAGATACTGATTGTGAACGATACGAGAAGAAATATGAAGTTGATAAACCTTATCTGTTCATTTGAATTTCCTTTTGGAGTTAAATTTTGTTCGGTAATGGCGGTGAATTCAGGAAGAAACCTGTGAAACAGTACTGAGCTCGAAGGAAAAGAATCGCAGGGTATTGGTTTAGAGTCACAGCAATGCCTTGTTGTCTGCAAGGTCTTTACTCTCAATGAACAAAGAATTCATGCGGGCACCGAAGAAGGTTGTTTATCTACCTGCCAGTAGAAACAACAACAAAGACGCAATGATACCATACAAGGTCAAAGAATGACATGTTACAAATCTATCAAAAGACATATAAAACCTTTAACAACCTTTGCAAAATATCTGAAATGCAATTTTTACTGACTTTTTCCTTGTCCATACAAAAAGTACAGGAATAGATCAAGGAGAAAAGTTTTTCAGTCAAAAAACACAAAACTACAAATATTTCTTTGAACTGGGTTTATAGATATCGAACATGAAACGAAAATAGTTTCATGGATCCGCGATTTGGCCTAAATATGATGTTAGATTTTAAGATCTAAACTGCTGCAATTATGTTGATAATAATAACAATAATAATACTGCAGCTAAAATGTTTCCCCATTATAGGAGAAGATATTCGCGACTTGGTTTGTGTTCCAAGGGCTAGCATCAGCACTGCAGGATCGCTTCAACACCCTTTGCTGATGCTAGCTAATTCTTCTTTTTCTAAATGCAATTGAAAACTATGCATGTTCCTGGAAGTTATAAATACTCACGTCTTTGTTTTCACACCGCCTGCATGAATTTTCATAGAATTTTCCTTGGAAATTTGGTTTTATTGCAACCATGCCAAACATTATTTTTGGCTCAACTTTCTGCAGTCCCGCTTAGCATGTGTAAATGCTTTTATCCCGAACAAGCACTCTAAATGATCCTTAATTCCGTCGTAATGTTTCCTTTAACTTTATCTCTCTGATAAATTTCCTTTAATAATCAATTGCTATTGTCTTTTGTGTAAGTTTTTTAATACCTTGGAAATTTAGTCGTTTAGCTCCTGGTGGACTTTTCTTTTTTTTCCTATAGAAATTTCTATATTTTGTGAAGTGCACTAGTCTCCCCTCTTTGATTTTGCAAATTAAGCCAAACTCGATTTTCATTCCATCATAAAGTGTATATTTAGATAGGGAGTTGATTAGTGCTACTTATTTGCTCATCAGTTAAACTAGGTTGGTCAATGCTTCATACACGTAATTGATCTAGTCTCTAGACTATAATGTAGTTTTATTAAATAGATGCTAATTTCAAAACTTGGATTCCGAAAACATTTTTGTTTGACTAGAAATTTCATTTAATAAATTGCAAATGTACCCATTGTTTTATTTGCTCTTTGATTTTCGCATTAATTGAATGTTGCTTTTTTGTACCACATCCTATCTATGTAGTTATATAATTCTTCTGTTCATATATTTTCCAAATCAATACCAAAATTATTCCATTACTCGTTTTATATGCTGTTATATTTTCGTGATAATTTGTTGCGTTTTATCGAAATATCAATTTTTCAGGTTTTTCCCTTGTAACCTGAGCTAGGTTTTTTTGCTGGGAATTCAAGGGGTTTTCAAAGTATACAAATCTTTCATCAGAGCGAAAAATGTTCCAAGGTTATTTCACTAGATGGCAACAACATTTCTGACCAATTTCTGACAAATTAAATGATTTTTGCCATCTAAACGCATTTTCCTCCAGCATTCGCAGCCTTTTAAAGATATGTCACCAACTGGTCGATGACATCATTGAATTATATCCCACAAGACCTTACTACATTTTTAAGGTTAAAACCGTGGTCTAAGACTGCATATGTAATTTAGCATAGAGAGCTACTCGTTGCAAATGACTGTTAAACTTTTGTATTTGTCTAAGATGTTACAAGGGCTAGACAAGTAGGCTAAAAATAGCAATCGGGTCATGATATGAAACAGTTTCTGCCCATATATGTCAAATTGTCGTTTGTGAAGATACCAAAAACACTCAAGTAGTTTTTAATCTACCAATGCCTTTTGTTTCGCATACTTTGAAGGTGACTCAATGGTGGACGATGCAACCAACGATGGAAGAAACAGGAAACCAAAAGGAATGGGCTTGCAACCAACAATGTCTCGTCATTTGACCATTTGGCCAGAGATCAACAACCAAATAGTGAGGATGGTCTTGTTCTTATATGCTTTTCAGAAAGAGATACAAGCAGTTCTGTATGGGTACCAAAGACCCGTTTCTTTCGAAGATCTAAAAGACTTGATGTTCTTTTACAAAGTGCTTGCAATACTTCCAATAAGCCACAACTGATTTTAACGTAAATGTTCATCTTTTAAACTCACTCATAACGAATCCCCTACAGGAAAATTACAATAAGTAGAGAATAATTCTTTTCTTAAATTTCTTACCTTAAATCGCAAGCTTAGTTAATACCAATAAAAAGACAAAGGTGAAAGATCTTCGAAGGGTGCCGTTCTTGGAGAGTGTGGATTAATTTTCAAACCTTGTAAAATGCAACTCTTTAATGTAGTGTCCAAGAAAGTTTTATGCAAGTAAAATTTCTGAAAACCCTCTACATTGGCAATTCTCTGCAATATACGGACAATGTTGAGTGACAGATATTTTAGTGGCTGCCTGGCAAAGGATGCTGCGACGCGATCACATCCAGGGCGCTATCTCCACTTAAGCTCGCAGGCTGTTCATTATATTCATCATATCCTACACCCTTGGAACTTGAGAGGTTCCTTCCCTAGGAGGTTAATGCCTGCTTCTTCTGAACCTATTGCGAAACTGTACCTCTAGAACCATTGAACAAACATAGTACCTACAGCTTAGGTGTGAGGACCAATGAACAATTAGCTGCTGCTTGATAGAGATAAGTGTTTAAATATCTACTGTGGTCGTCCACTAAATACATAACCGATACAATCATTAAAAAAAATCAAGGGAGCCTTATGGAACATTCGAAAAACGCTGACTGAGCGCAAGAAAAGATCCGTGAACCGAAAGAAAGCATCTCGATTAGTTAAGCGAAGAATTGGGAAAGGGTTTTACCCGTGTCCGCACTGATATATAATGAATCAATTGTTTCAAGCATGTTATAGCTTTGATATTTATATATAATAACAATAGATTTAATATTTTGACTTTAAAGATATTTTATGAAACAGAGTTCGACATTGTATGCTCCATATTTTTAATCCTGCAGCACTTTTCGGCACTTTTTGTCTCTAAAGTTTTCTTGATTTCAATGTCATTAAAAAAACCATTTAGTGTTTTAAAAGTTTTATGCCAACCAGTCAACCCCTTTATTTAGAAAGCACGAAAATTTGGAGCTCTGCTTTTTATGAAATGTTTGATTGTTTTAAGTCTTTTGCTTTTAGATTTTTGCCAAAGTATCCGAAATTTTTCAGAATTTCCAATGCTCCTGTTATTTACAGGTTTAATGTAGTTTGGATTTTTGGCTTCCTAATTTTTTAACAGTGCTTGAAACTAACAGTGCGCTAGATGATTTTCTTCCGAAATGTTTTGGATGTTATGAATAAAACGTTTAAGACTGCGTGAAGAGGAAAGCGGATTTCATAGAAGCAGTGCAATGCCTGCAAAGCTCTTGAACTTGACATTCATTTCAACAATTAGAAAACTGGTCTCGCAGAATTTTTTTCATTGAGTAAACATAAGGTTATGAATTAGTACAGCTATTTTTGTTTTGAATGAACAGCCTAGAAACAGCTGATGATTAAGATCTTTTTGTCGACAAAATGTAAACAGCAGAATGAATTTCTTTAAGTTAAACGTTATGAAATCAGTCTGAAGATGACGTGTATATTAACGCCATGCTAACAGCCATGCTAACAGTAAATTTTGTTGATTGCTTGAAGGACGTAAATTAAAATGGCAACGGGCTCTGGTGTATTTGTGCAATAAATGCATACATTTTGGGTAGAAAGGTAAAGCGAATACTCGAGACATGCATTCATTTGCTAGAACGCAAGGGACAGCACTGCTCCCTTAGTTCTGGGGGATTTGTTTGGAGACCTATTCAATATTTTGGCTGATTCAGATGACAAAGATTATGACCTGTTTTTACGAATGACGACACTATGCAAACTTTTATTAAAATTTTCTGAATGTTGTAAAAGATTCATTCAAAACCCCATCTGTCCCTTAGTTCGGTCTTGCAATTATGATCAGCAGACCTGAATTGATGAAAATCGCTGAAAGAGGCCTATCCAACAGTCTTTGTTCACTCGTGCTTTTCAGTGCGGGGAACTAGCTCACCTGTTCTTGTAAAGCGGCTACCACTACGGTTACGATTATTACACACGCCATACGCTCCGATTTCTGTTCTAAAACTAGTAGATGAATTGACAAAATGTGATGTAGCATAAAATGCAACGTTTTTTATAAAGCGACTGTGTAAAGGACATCTTTAGACATCTTTAGCCTTTTCTTTCTATCTTCTATACTTACAACCTGGAGTCTGTGGCACGACGTGTAAAAAACAATTTTTTTCAATTTTCTTTCTACACGAGCATACCCACAAAATTTATACCTACCCAAATGTTATCAATCAAATAGCTCCTTTTTAAGATGGACTAATCGACAAAACTTTTATAGAACCAAAGTGGAGATTACAATTATGATCGCAAGTGGAGACAGCAAATATTTGCATTTTCTATCCTAGATCTATCCAATTCCTATTCTATAGAAAAATGCTAAATTAAAGATTTGATGTGCGACAACGACAGCTCTATAACGCGAAAGACATCCTTTGTTGTAGGGTATAGTGACATGGTGACAGCTGCTTTGGACTGGGACAAACGCCTTCGTGTCTAGTTGACAATACCAATGTAAGGAGCTGGCAGCTTTGCTGAGAAACAGATAAGTTCTCGTGTGAAAATGTAAAGACGTTTTTTGAGTGACATGTCAACGAGATGCTTCACCGCAATTAATCCGCAGCACACGAGTAGATCTGAAAGCATCGTACTAGAAATTCTCGATTTATTTAAAACGATGTTAAGATGCTAGACTAACAATATTTTTAAGTACAGTAAGAAAGATTAAACAAAATTCTTGATGATTTGTCGAGTTTAAATTTTGCAATTTGCAAATTAAAACTCTTCTAGAGGGGACAAATGTGGGTCACAGCCCAATATTTTCTGTTTACCTTTGGACAAGCTGGGGTCAATAAAAGACAGAGAATTCATATCACTTGTTGTTATAATCAGAGTGCTACATATGAACAGAGAATTCGTGTCTTACCTGCTTGTCGATAGGGTTGGATCCAAACAGAAATGACGTCAGACGGGTAGCGGGATTCTTTCTTGAATACGAATCTTGCAGCATGCTTGTTGTCATTCTTTCCCTATTCACATTCATAAACGAAAATGTTTCGAAATTTTTCCTTTTGTTTCAGATCATCCAAATATTTGAATCCTGTTCGCGTTTGTTGTTGTGAACACATTCCTTGTCATTTTATAGTGGAAGGGAGTGGAACATATTTAACAGCCGCTCGCCGGAAACCACAAACATACGGCCGCAGTAGATCTGACCCTGACCTCGATTAGGTAAAACTTAGGCTATAGTCTAGAGTACATTTTGCCAGCGTCTTTAGGGAGTTTGCGTGAAATTCTGAATCAGGGAATTATCAACCAAATGTGTTAAAGATTCGCAAGCATAGACATATAAACCGGGGGGACAGGGGTACCTGCCCCCTCCCCTACTTTACAAAAATTAAGGTAAAATGCTCCTTTGCGACTCACAAAATTGCCCTATTTTGCCAATTGCATAACCAAAAATTGGCCTTGAAATGCTATATGAATTGAGCAAACCTTTTCCTGTGAAAGAAGGCAATTATCAAGACATATCAAAATTATGCCTGAAGCGATTGCAAGAGAATGATTGCAAGAAATATTCCTATACGATTCTGTATAATTACCAAAATTTTGCTTATAATAATTTTGCTTATAATGCATAAAAGCACTAAAGAGGATAAAGGAAATCTTTAAATTTTGATTAACGTAACAGGAACATTTAATCTTTTCGTAAGATATAAAGTAACATAAAAGCCATACCAGTTTAGATCTTGGATATGTTTAGTGATAAAAAGTAATATTCTTTAAAGTCAATTAACAGCAATTCTGCAGATCAGTTTTATATAAAATATCTTTTTAGCAATATAGAAGCATAAAGGAATTTACCATTTCATCTTATGTTCTTGATCCAAGGGAAATTTTCACAATTTTTAAAGGGCTAAATGTCCTTTGTTTTTTGGAACTGAAAAGAGTGATCTGAGGGCAAGTGCATGTGCCCGATTCGTAAGATAAAACACTCTTCTTTGATCAAATACTTCTGCTGCAGCTTCTTTGATAAATGTTTTGTGGCTTCTCATTAGTATTATCATAGCAATTTATGATGAGATTCAAGGAGGTCTACAAAGTGCAAGGGGAGCTTAGCATACACGCGTTCAGAAGCGTTGAGAATTTCTAGCAATGAAAGATTTTTAATGTTTTCAATTGAATTGGCTACTCGTTGTTTCTTAAAAAATCTCCACTTTCAATTGTTCTGATCAATACAGGGAATGATTTTTCAAAACTTCAGGCTCAATCAATACTGATGGTAAAATTTAAACTTCTTATCCAGAAATTCACCTTGCCTATTCAAAATAATTTAATTCAACTTAACCTCTGTCAAAAAGGAAACAAACGATGCATTGGTGCAAGTTAAGATCCATGTCACGCCCCCCTATTATTTACGTGCCTGGCAAAGGGCCTCGCGCAGAGCCTTCGAAACCTTCCATTTTTTAACAGAGCCTTTGAAACCCCTTTGCAGCACTGCTCCCAGAATATAGAGTACCGAAGTGATGAAGTCACAAAAGTCTTTGTTTAGAATCTTTCACCTTGGATCCTATAACCCTAAAGAGCATCATGAAATACCTCTAAATATGCAAGATCAGTAGAAAGTGTTACAAATTGAAGGATATATTATAAAGAGAATTAGAAAATATCTAATGCTTGTTCAGTACACTGTTATAAAGGAAATTCAGTACAGCTTGACAATTATTAGAGGCCCCAGCTCCAAGCCTTGCAGTATCAACCACCTCTCTTGTATCAACAGACCAAAGGAAGACAGGGGCTCGCAATACCGTGAGCCCGGCGATATCAGCGGCTGCGAAATGGGGCCACAGAGTTGGGGGGGGGCAGTTTTCGCAGCTTGGATAATAAATAATTTGAGGATTACTAATCTCTGAAAACCCACTGAGTTAACAACGTACTTGTTCTAGGATTGTATCTACTAGCTGGGACAGTGCTGAGTGGAGTAAGGATATAGATGCAAGCAAACAGAGAAGAAAACAGGAGACAACAGTCCAATAAGGAAAAGAGATACATATGACCATGCCAAGAACCTGCGGCTTGAATTGTCCTGCTAACCGAAACTCTGCATGAGACATGGAATAGTCCGGTGAAATGATTTACTCACCTCAGATCCACGCGACACGCTGCCAGGCGGAAATTACTGCGGACATCCTTTACTATCAACTTAACGGCGAAATAGAGGTAGAGATATTACCCCCTCGCAAAGTAAGAATGCCAGGAGCTTCCAGGGGAAGCACTGATTTATTAAACGCCTCCTTTTCTTTACAGCAATTAAATTTATCAATTCGATTGAAGTCGATTAAATTTTTTTTGAATTACATCATGCAAATACCGTTAAAGCTCTTTTAGCCGGGGACATTTTTCAGCCAGAGTCATGATCAATTAAAATCCCCAGGGACATCTTCTAAACAAATTTTGATAGACTTAAGTCGCATAAGTCAATACTAACATGGACCACAGTCTTAATGCACACAATCTTATCGTCATCACACCCAAAGAGACCAACTCAATACAAATGTTTTCTTTTTTTGACACCAGGGGCTTAAGAGGGGGCTGATGGGTAATATTGCCTAATAACAATGTCAAACCGAGCAATGTTCCCGTACGATAAATCCAGTTCAAGATAAACAAGAGGAAAACAAACTTGTTATGAGTTCTCTCAATCAGTCATATTGGTAAACAGTGAATCTACAATATTAACGATTACAAACCGATATCCATAATATATTCTCTAAACATATCCAATTGAATTCCGTATACGCGCTCGTGTTCCAATCGAAAAACAAAACAATCTACCTTCAAGCAATCCAACAATCAAAGTCCTATCAATGAATGCCTCCCCCAACCTCGATAAACTAAACAATACTCATTTCTTACAACGTGTTCTCCGCAGATTCTTCATGTTTCCTAACAGGGGGCTTAATAGAGAGAGGGGCTTATTTTAAATTTTTGCTTGATAAGGGTGTTTAATAGAAAGGAGGCTTAAAAGAGAAGAGGGCTTAATAGAGCTTTTGAGGTAAAAAGATTCACAAAACGAGACGTTTTAAAAAACTGTGTTGAGGATTGTTCTCCTGAAAAACACGAGCCGATGGTACTTACACAATATGCGGCTGAACTTTCAGGCAAAAAGCTAAAACCTTTTGTTTCAGCTTTCATTTAACGAGCGAGACAACACTGTCGATCTCTCGTTTGAGGCTTTTTTATGCAGTTTCTTTCCGCTTTAGCACTTCTCATGATGAACGTTGAAATGCCGCAAAAAAATGCAGTACAGTCTGATGAAAAAAACACAGAGACACAAAGAAAATAGAGGAATATCTCGTTAACGCTAGTGCCCGCGCGGGCCGCGCCAGTGCTCAACGTTGCCAGATTTCTGGTAGATTGTCTAATTTTTGAAATTGTATTTCCCACACAGCAACGATCTTTTCAACTTGCAAATGTCTTTGAGACAGGGGATAACTTGTAAACAAAGCTAGCGACACAAGTTTGCCAAGACAGCAAGAGTCCCAACAAGTTTGCTAAAGCTTTTTATACACTATAAAATCGAACCTAGGTTCTTGAAACATTAACAGACTTCTATAAGTAACCGACTTTTTGTCGGGATCAAATTTTGGCAGAAAATTATGGCTGTAGGCCATTTTGTGTGAGAAAAAACCGAGTTTTAGGGGGCTCAGATTTTTGTAAAAAGGTAACACCCCATTGAATTCACTTCTTAGAAGAGAGTTTTTTGTGTGAGAAAAAGCCGAGTTTTGAGGGGACTAAAATTCAAGTAAAAAAGTAAGGCTTAGAAGTATCAACCACTTTTTTAGATAATCTTTTTGTCAAAAAAAGATTAAATCGCTAAAAAAATTAAAAATAAGCCGAAATTGGGTTTGGTTCTAGAAAAAAAGTCTTTTTTAATCAGAAATTACCGTTTTTTAGTGGCTTTTTTTATGGTAAAAAAGTAAGGCTATAGGCTTAGAAAAATCGTCGCTATTTTTAGGAAATTTTTTTGATCAAAAATAGATTAAATCGCTCCTAAAAAGTAAAAAGAAGCAGAAATTGGGTTTGGTTCTAGAAAAAAGAGTCTTTTTTAATCAGAAATTACCGTTTTTTTAGTGGCTAAATTTATGGTAAAAAAATAAGGCTTTAGGCTTAGAAAAATCGTCGAAATTTTTAGGAAATTTTTTTGATCAAAAATAGATTAAATCGCTCCTAAAAACTAACAATAAGCAGAAATTGGGTTTGGTTCTAGAAAAAGAGGCTTTTTTAGTAGGAAATTACCGTTTTTAGTGGCTAAATTTATCGTAAAAAAGTAAGGCTACAGGCTTAGAAAGATCGTCGCTATTTCTAGGTAATTTTTTTGATCAAAAATATATTAAATTGCTCCTAAAAATTCAGAATAACCAGAAATTGGGTTTGGTTCTAGAAAAAGAGTCTTTTTTAATCAGAAATTGCCTTTTTTTAGTGGCTTAATTTATGGTAAAAAAGTAAGCCTATAGGCTTAGAAAAATCGTCGTAATTTTTAGGAAATTTTTTTGATCAACAATTGAATAAATCGCTCTTAAAAATTAACAATAAGCAGAAATTGGGTTTGGTTCTAGAAAAAAGAGTCTTTTTTATCTAGAAATTACCGTTTTTTTTGTGGCTTAATTTATGGTAAAAAAGTAAGGCTATAGGCTTAGAAAAATCGTCGAAATTTTTTGGAAATTTTTTTGATCCAAAATAAATTAAATTGCTCCTAAATATTCAGAATAAACAGAAATTGGGTTTGGTTCTAGAAAAAGAGTCTTTTTTATCTAGAAATTACCGTTTTTTTAGTGGTTAAATTTATGGTAAAAAAGTAAGGCTACAGGCTTAGAAAGTTCGTCGAAATTTTTAGGAAACTTTTTTGATCAAAAATTGATAAAATCGCTCCTAAAAATTAACAATAAGCAGAAATTAGGTTTGGTTCTAGAAAAACAGTCTTTTTTATCTAGAAATTACTGTTTTTTTAGTCGTTAAATTTATAGTAAAAAAGTAAGGCTATAGGCTTAGAAAATTCGTCGTAATTTTTAGGAAATTTTTTTGATCAACAATTGAATAAATCGCTCTTAAAAATTAACAATAAGCAGAAATTGGGTTT